AACTACCTTTTCTTTCCCAGTTATTTTTTTTTAATTTTATTTAAGGAGAAAAGAAAAAAAAAACAGTGAAAGGGTACAAGTTATACAGATTTACAGAAGAAAAAAAATGAACAGTAGGAAATCACTAGTTAATGGATTACATATTGCCATCTTAGAAATAATTGTTCAAGTCACAAGATTAAAGCTTGTAGAGTGGACATTCCAACAGTGATACTGCAAACAGTTCTGTTCAATGATCCAATAAAACTCTGTGATATCATTTTCTATCTTATACACTTAAATATACATGCAGTTATATAGTTTAGAGCACTTTCTTTTCCTCTATTTTGTACAATGACTATTACACATTTTGGGTTTCATTGCTCACACGGTTCTTATTGCTTTTTTGGAAGAGAGTAAAACCAAATGTGACATAACAGAACAGAATCGGTCAAGTCAAAAGGGTGGACATAATAGATAATATAAAAACATAATACAAGGTGATCAACAATGGTTACCGTAATGCCTCCCGCTATCTCTAATAGAATTGCCTATATCGTTAGTTATAATACAATTGAACAAAACAGTAAAGAACAAAACCGACAAAACCAAAACATTGGAGACATTGTAGGTCTTCAAAAGTAGATAAAAGTTAATGAGAATGGGCGTTATAATGAATCTCATTATCTTCACAGCTGATGCCTAAACTTTCGAACCTGATACTATCCAGCAAAACAGAATAGGGGAACATTAGTCAAAAACAAGATGGTGAGAGTAATACAGGGCTTCAAATCGAGATAATAGAAAGTCAAAATGGGTTACTATATTATATCCTGCTATTTTTTTCCCTTTAATTAAACGGATAAAAATAAAAAAGTAAATAATGGAGTGGAGATTGAGAAAAAAAGAGGGCATAACAGCGAAACAGCGCAGATCAAAACATAACCATTTAAGCAGAATAGTGTTTCACCACCAGATAATTCCGACCCAAAAGTAGTTACCATATTGACTCTTTCCTTGAAGTCCTTGAGTACAACTTCGTATACTATAGCATTAAGTATATCAAAACAATGTAAAACCATTTAAGAGAATGACAGCATTACAGAGTATTTAGAATCGACTAACAGAAAATGAACAATGGTTTCTGTATATTCTCCTTGTCTTTAAAAGGTTTTTGCTTATACTATCGTACATAATAAAATCCAATAAGATACAACCTGTTTAGACCATTGGAGACAGAAGAACAAAAGCTAGATGAGACTTCAAAACAAGATGATACTAAATCAGTATTACCTATTAAGATGTCATTTTCTCCAAAATAGCTGTTCCTATCATCCAATCTTCTCTGTCTCATTTCTGTTGAGCTCTTTTTCTGTCAGTAGCTGTCAGTTTGTCTTCTTCATTTTGTTCTCTGCTCCATTCGTTGTGGCCTCCCCGCCACTATTTCTGGGTTCTTTGTATTTTTCTTTTTTTAGAATATCCTGCAATACTTTCTGTAGAGTTGAATTGGTGGTTGCAAATTTCCCCAGTTCCTCTTTATCCTGGAAGCACCTTGTTTTTCCGTCAATTTCCAGGGACAGTTGTGCAGGATATCTCAATCTTGGCTGGAGATTATTATCTTTCAAAGCTTGAATTATTTCCCCCCACGCTCTTCGTGATTTGATGGTTTGTGCAGAGAAATCTGCTGTAATTCTGATGGGTGTTCCCTTGTAAGTGGTCTGTTTCTTGTCTCTTACAGCTTTTAATATTCTGTTCTTGTATTGAATTTCTGGAATTTTTATTATTATATGCCTGGGTGTTTCTCTGTTTGGGTTGTAGGTGGCTGGGGTCCTGTATGCCTCATACATCTGAGTATCTTTACCTTTTGCTAAATTAGGAAAATTCTCCTGGGTTATTTCTGTGAGTAGCTTTTGTAGTTCACTTGTTTGTATCCCTACTTCTTCTTTTATGTTCTTAATCCTTAAGTTATGGCTCCTCTTATCATCTTCTTGTCTTTGTATTATTGCTGTTTGTTTCTTTGTTATTTTTAAGAAGTTTTTCATTTCATTCTCCCATATTACAAGTCTGCCCTCCAGTTCAGATAGTCTGTCCTTAGTTTCTTTCAAGCTGTTATGCCAGTCTTCCATAGACTTCTTAATTTCTTGATAGTCCCTTTGAACCTGCTTCACGTACTCTATGCTTTCTCTGTTTTCTCCATCAAACAATTCTCCCCTCTTTTTCTGTTCTTCCATTCCACCATCTGTTTTTTCCTGGGTGGTGCTTAGCATTTCTCTAACTATTCTGCATACTTCTAGCTTTAGGTCGTTGATAACTTCATTCCTGAATTGGTCTATGAGGCTCTCTATATGGCGCTTAATGTATATTGGTGCAGTGTCCACTATTGCCTGTTTCTCAGAATTGGGGGCCGAGGAGCCTTTCTTGTTGCTGCCTTTTCCCATATTCTCTGCTCCTTATATATGCAAGCTTACATAGGAGGCCCAGCTTCCCTGCCTGTCAGCCACAGCCTGATCGAATTGCGCTGGCTAGGTGTTCCCGCCCACCACTGCGCACCAGGGAGTTACAGATGAGGCAGCCTACGCAGGAGTCGCCCCTCTGGGCCACCGTCAGGCTCTGGGATCTGGGTTGGGCCAGCCTACCGAGTCCGCCAGCAGCGTCACGCAGGCCAGGCACTTTTCACCAATCCCGTCCGAGAGGGAATGTGTGGCTGGAGTCGCCACCGCGCCCTGCTCCTGCAGGACTGCCCGAGCCCAGAAAGTCCTCCGCTGGAGTCAAACTGTGGTAGGGGGTCAGTTTCTCTCACTCACCTCACCACAATTCAGTGCACGCCTCCCTGTCCGTCCTGTTTTCGACTCCGTTCGCAGACTCCCGTTCACAGAGCTTCTGCGCGTCTCTCTCCTTGCCGATCCGACGTAGAGGCAGCCAGCCGCGGCGCGACGGGAAACCCAAATCACGGCTTCCAATGGCGCGGGGTCCAGTCTCCACACCAAGGCTTTTCTGTTCCTGTTTTAGCACCAGGACTGCATTCCAAGTTGGTTTCTCTCAGCCCAGTTTGTTCCTGAGTCAGTAGAGCATATCTCTACCGGCTTATGTCTCCTTAGTCCGCACCATTCCTGACTTCTGAGCCGAGCCTTTCAGAGAGCCTCCGGTAGTTGCTGTTATCTGTCCGCCATGTTCTCCCGGAACTTCTTTCCCAGTTATAATGCCAACATTCTAATGCAGTCATTCTGGACGTGTTCATTCAGTACTTGCTATGTTAGTACTAGGAACTGGTCTGAGTCCTAGAGATACAATGATGTGCGAGAAGAACTGGTCTCCGCCCTGAAGGAGCTCATGATTTAGTCAGAAAAGCAGAGGAGTAAACAGGTACTTTTAAAGCAGTTTAGGGCCAAGGATATAGCTCAGTGGTACAGCACCTGCCTGCACATCCAAGGTCCTGAGTTCAAAAAAAGAAAATGTAGGGGCTGGGGATTTAGCTCAGAGGCATAAGCGCCTGCCTTGCAAGCAGGCAGTCGTGAGTTTGATCCCCGGTACCGAAAAAAAAGACAAAAAAAAAATGTGGTAGGTGTTAGGATAGGGACTATGTATGACATTGTTAGAGGAAGAAAAGGAGACGGTACTGACCTGAACTTTGGACACTTCCTGAGGAAGTGATGTTGATTTAGGCTGAGACCTGGCGGCTGAAATCTGGAGACAAGAGAAGACACTTTGTTCAGAAAACTGAAATCAGTTCATTATAGCTGGGGTGAAAAAATGAGAGAGAGTAGTTACACGGAGGTCACTTGGAGAGAATTAAAGGCTGGTTCCTACAAGGCTTTGGAAGCCAATTTAGGAAATTTCGGTTTTATCTTAACAACAGGGAAGTATTGAAGATTTTAACTAGGAAAGAGACTTTTTGCATTTGAAATAAGATCACTTTGACTGGAATAGGAAGGACAAATTGGGAGGGCGACAGAGGTCTGGGGCCCAAGATGAGGCAGTAGCTCTAATGTAGACAGGACATGTGGTGGAGACTGCTCTGTTTAAGTTTCCTTCTCTATAGGATTTTTTTCCCTCTCAATTTCCAGCAGTTCTCGAAAGTGTCCAAATCCACTCTCTAGTTTTCTCGGTGAATAAAGGTTAAATCCCTTCTGACCTGGGCCTGCTTTTTCATTGCTTTCTATTGCCTTCAAGCAATTGTTTGGAAATATTTTGTTGAGACTTTCCCATTACCAGCAAGAGGGTTTCTCCAGTACCAGCTATTACACCATTACTGGACGTGGAAGGAACACACTAAGGAACCTGGACTTTATTCTGCATGCTGGAAGATTTTAAATGGGGGAACAGTAGTCTGATGAGTTTGTAACTGGGGAGGGTAGAATGGGGATGACCCATAGCAGTGGTCACAAACCCCTGGCTCAGGGCCTCAGTGGGCTGTTTGTATCATTGAAGTCTCTGAAAGGTTTGCCATCACTGACCTGTAGGATAGGTCAACAAGGGAAAACCAGGAGCCACAGGAAGCAATTAGATCATTGCAGTGGCTCAAGAGAGATGGCACATAGAAGTGAGAGACATTGGAATGGAAGAAGAGGGTCACATAGGAGAAATTTAATGAAAGAATTCTCCTCCCAGTAGCCCTGGGGGCTTCCCACAAGAAACTGCCTGCCATTCCATCCCAGAGATTCTGGCCTGGTGAAAGGTCATCCCACGGTGTGTCTCTGTGGAAGCTCTGAGCACTTCTTAGATGTCAGTCTAGGAAAACGACTGAGTTTGTATCTCTCTGGACCTGCAGCTCTCCCTACCTCACCCAGAGCTGTGGAAAGCCATTCAGGGTCTGATTTGACCTTGAGCCTGATCATTTCTGAAAGGCCCAATTGTTGTCAGCCCCAAGGTGTGGGAAAGAGTAGAGAAAGGGTTACACACGCAGGTGACTCTGCCCAGACCTGCCTCAGCATCCGCTGCCTGGACCTGCTCTGCTTGATGTCAGGCAGCTGGTTGTCCTTGACTGTTTCCATCCACTAGCTGTGTGCTTTCTCCTTCCATAGGTCAAATGGATGATGTACTGGATTATATTTGCACTTTTCACCACAGCAGAGACATTCACAGACATCTTCCTTTGCTGGTAAGTACTCCAGGGTGATTTGGCCTAGTGTGAGGGGAGGGGAAGGGCTGAAGCCTCACACCACACCTCTGGCCACAGATGGAGGGATGTGATTTGAAGTATTTCTCATAAACCGTCTATAAAAGTTACTCTGCAAGTGTGGGCTGAATCCCTGCCTTCCTGACCCCTCACATGGATGCCTTGCTGCTCCCTTATCTGGTCCCCTTAGCCAGAGACAGTGAGGGTTTTATGGGTGTGGGTGGGTAAGCGTTCTTAACCCTTCCCCTATAGGCCTGAGCTTGGCCTCCTCTGAAGGGAGGGGGCTCTACAGGACCCTTCCCTGCCTGCTTCAGCTCCTAACTCTTCAGCCATCCCCATCCCCTACTTTTTACCCCTTCATAGGACAGTTCCCTCTTGTGGTCAGTTTTTAAAAAACATTGTACCCTGGTAGAAACAGAGATTAAATATGGCCATAGGCTAGATAGCGTGGTGACTTGCTTTGCAATTTAGGAAGGTGATTTTATTTAAATGACATTTTAAAACATTATAAAATAATATATACATGCAAAATGCAAGTGAAGCAATTTGCTAAAACTAAGACTAGGGGCTGGAGTAGCTCAGTTGTAAGAGAATGTGCTTTGTGGGGCCTGGGCTCGATCCCGAATTCCACCAAAAAAAAATCTTCCCCAGACCCAAAGTCCCCTTCCCATTGCCAGAAGTACCACCGTGGAAAGTTGCTTGTGCTTTTTTCTAGAAATGTTCTGTAAACATTAATCGTATGTATTGTGGATGGTATCATCCTATGAACAACTCGTAAAGGACAGAACGTTGAGGTGTTATATTGTCGGGGTGGGGACACTACAACTTCCCTGTGTCCCCTGATGCTGTGCATGTGCCCGGAAAGCTATGGAGGAAATGGGGGTGCCTGGGGCCTTTTCCCAGAGGAAATTCCTGGAGGTTGTGGTTCTTCAAGGATGGCTTAGTGTGGAATGAGCGGGCCCTGTGCCCCTCTCAGGTGAAGGCTGGCCTGTTTAGGTGGGCTGGAAGCAGATTTCATTGGTGGCAGTTGCTTTGGGAAAGCAAGAGCCCCAAGACCTGTAGGAAACATGGCTCTAAGGAGCTCAGTTTAGAACACCTTGGGATCCCTGGCAAGGGCCGGTCTAAGACACAAGATTTTCGCTCCCTAACATACATTTCAGTGAGAGATTTGGGGGCTTTAAATGGAGGAAATGGCTTTAAACCATTTAAACTTTCTGTCAAAGGTCACATAGTAACTATTTTTTTTTTTTTTTTTTTGTCTTTTTCGTTTTTATCGGTACCGGGGATCGAACTCACGACTGCCTGCTTGCAAGGCAGGCGCTTATGCTGCTGAGCTAAATCCCCAGCCCCACATAATAACTATTTTGAGCTCACAGGACCATGAATTTTTGTTGCAGCCAGTCTGCTATCATAGCATGAAAACAGCCATAGACAATACCTAAGTGTGTGGGTGTAGCAGTGTGCCAATAAAACTTTATTTATAAAAACAAGTAACAGACTGGGTTTGGCCTGTGGGCCATGGGTTATGAGGGCTCCTGGGTCCTTTCTAGCAAACAACAGACACTACCCCTGACTAACTTAAGGAAAAGAAGAGAAAGCAGTGAGGCTTTGTCAGGAGCTAGTTGGAGTAACTCAGAATGGAAAGAAAAGCCAAAAATATTAAACTCTGGAAGGGGAGAAGAAGGACACTTCAGGCCCCTTTCCACTGAAGCTTAAAGACTCTGCTTCTGCCCATTGGCAGTTGACCCCTCAATACTGTTTATGCTGAAGTTGTAGCCTTCCCAATTCCAAATTACTAATCTACAAATTGCTTAGTATCTACTACTTGATACTTCCTTAGTAGCACTAAGTACTTAGCTCTGATCTAGAGAACACATAGTATAAACAGGTTCAGCAGGGCTGCCCATTGCCCATTTGTATCTAGGAGGAAAGAAAGGGGCAGGGAGAAACTTCCAGAGAATGTGGCCTAAGAGATATCTTGTGTATATGCGCTTGCAGAACCTACATGCGCTGTTCTCCATAGACACTGGGTACCCAGTCAGGGCTGCATCTCTGAGTAGCATAGGAGAGAAAATCACCCAGGGCATTTCCAACATGTGTGAGGTGCAGGTGCTCGAGTGCCTCTGTCTCTCTTCCTGCATCTCATCCTTCCTTCTGTCCTGAAGTAGGTGGTCCCCATCTCTTCCTGTCCTGTCTTCTGTGCTGGTGACTGAACAGTGGTGTTCTCGTTTCTCAGGTGCTGTGTGCATGTCTTTCCTCCCTCCCCCTCTTTCACATCTTCCTGCTTCTCTGGTTTTGATGTAGACCTTTCCCTCCTGTGTAACCAAGAGCTCTCTTCCCACAATGCAGAGGTGAGGACACTTCCCACCTGTTCTCTGAGTCTTGAGATCTCAAGAGCAGATACCAGAGTCATTTACCCCGTACTCCAAGGAGAACTGGCTTCCCAGGGAGCTTCTCTCTTGGCCCACAAACGCATTCTACAGTCACTTCGACTTCCTCCTCTCTGAAGACCATTTCCTCATTTGACTGCAGAGGACTGGGGCTCTCACTGGCCAGTCTTGTTGAGGGCCTGCTGAGGTTTAAGTGATACCAGGCAAATGGTAACAAAGACCCTGAAGTTGATGTTTGCAAGCAGCCAAAAGAAAACTGAGGTAGAGGTAAAGCCCTTGTCACCTACTGGAACTTTTGTTCATGGGTCCATTGTAGCATGTGGCATTGTTCATGGGGTCAACACTGTTTGTCTAGGTCTCTCACTCCGTAAGGTCGAGGTCATATCTAACCCAGCTTGGGTATCCCTCCAGTCTTCAGCATGTACCTTTTAATTTGTAGTTCTTCAGCAGGATTTCCCAACAGAATCAATGAATTAATCAATGAACAATGGATAGATCAATAAGCCAAGTATCTAAGAGTAGGCAAGTGAAGAAGGAAGGAAGGAAAGGAAAAGAAAGAAAGATGAAATAGAAAATATAGTGATTGTTAATGGTAGGAGATTCCAGTTTTGCTTTCAAAAACCCTCAAAAGGATCCTGTTTTTGCCAGATTACTCATCTATAATCTTAGCACTATGTGAGGCAGAGTCAGGAGGATCACAAGTTCATGCCCAGCCTTAGGAATTTAGGAAGACCCTGTCTGATTTACTCACTTCCCTTGTTGCTGGAACAAAATACCCAACACTTGCAACTTGAAGGAGAGGTTTATTTTGGTTCAATTTTAGAAGTTTTGATCCCTGCGTGGTCACCTGGCTGCACGCAGAAGCAGCATGGTTGAAGGGTCTTCCTCATGGTGACCAGGAAGTAGACAGTGAAGGGAGGAGCCAGGAGAGAGATAAACCCTTGCAGGTCACAGTCCCAGGAACCTGCCTCTTCAGATGGGACCCCACCTCCTGACAGCAGGTCAGCTGGATCACCCTGTAGTCCAATCACCTTCCAAAAAGCCCCACTTCTGAGTGCATGAAGCTTTGGGGGGACATCCATATATGAACCATAATACTGTTTCAAAACTAAAACTAGTAAAGGACTGGACATACATCTCAATGTGAAGGCTATGGGTTCAATTCCTCATTGGGGGGGGGAATAAAAGAATCTATTTTTAACCAAAGGCCTGGAAAGGCTGGAAACTAGCAGGCTCTGATGGCTTATATGTTATGTTCTGGATATTTGTGCCACCTTTCCGGCTGATGAACAAATCAATTTTTTGGTGATTCTCCTATCACAAGGGTTGACATCTTCCACTTGAAATGCCTTCAGTGTAAGCTCCATTGTCTAGGGTAAACAGGGGGCAGGGAGTAGCACTCTCTCTTCCAGTCTAGAGCTATTCAGAGACGGCACCCAATGGCAGGCAGGCTGTTCACCCCAAATGAAGTCTGCCCTCAGAATTTGTCACTGGAGCATCTGGTAAGACATGGCTGGAGAAATGAACCCAGAAGATTGGCAGGCAGGAAGATTTTCCTGTCATCCTGACTAGGGCACACTGAAAGAAGCTCAGGGAACAGGATGGTCTATAGCAGACTTGCCAGAAAGGAAAGGGGGCCTGGGTGACCCGAAGAATCACTCAGAATGAATATGCAAGTGCACCCACAGCCCTCATTGCACAGCCTGGGCAGAGGCTCTTTCGGTAACCTGCCTCTTCAGATGGACCCCACCTCCTGAGAGCAGGTCAGCTGTATCATCCCTATAATCTCTATAAAGTCCCTATAAAGGGACTAGGGGCTCTTATTCATGTTTGCACAGAGGTTCCACCTCTGTCTATGTTTAAAATGCACACAGAATTTCTACTCCTGGGGCATTTATTTGGCAGATGCATTTGCACACATGTGTAAAGAAACACACTGAGAGTGTCTTTTGCAACTCAGCTTAGTTCCCAAAGATTGTGACCCTCATGAATATTCATGGAGCCCCGGGAGATGCCTACACACCCACGTGCAGCCATTAAGAGAGGAGGCAGCTCTGAGCGCTGGTGTGAGACAGTCCCTGAGGCCCACAGTGGATTGTGTGTGTTGGGGGAAGCAAAGGGCAGGAGGGGGTGAACAGAATGCTGCTGTGTCTCTGGGGGGCAGTTAGGGGAGTTGTATGCATCTAGATAATTGTATGTGCCTGGCTCCAGTCCATTCTGGAAGGGTGTAGCAACCACTGATAATATCTAGGCTTTTAGAAAAGGGCCCCATGGTCAGGGGTAGGAAGAAGACTCTGCTGTATGCATTTTTTAAAACTATGTGCATGCATGACCTTTTTTTAAAATGTAAAAATACCTCTTTTACATAATGAATGAAAGAACTGCAGTGCGACAGATGCCCCTGGAATTGTCAGTGTATCTTGTGCTGGTTTCTGAGCTTGCTAGATTCATCTGCTTTCCCCTCAGGACTGGCAAGCACTTGTTTTCAAAACAGAAGTTCCTCCATTATTAATCACCAGTGTTTCCCTGTGGGACAATCAAGCCTCTATTCTTCCAGCCCCTCTCTTTTCTGCCTGTGACACATTAAACAATCTTGCCACCAAAAGTGCCCCCTGGTTGCTGAGAAACCCTTAAGGACAGTCAGCCAGAGGCAGAAAGCTGAGGACTGAGACCTTCCTAAGGGAAGGAGGATTTGGTAGAGCTGCTGATTTGGGAGTCATGTGGGCATTCAAGGACCTGGAATTGCTGGCTAGAAATTGCTCCTTTTCATTTCTGGCTCCTTATCTGGAGAGGATAAATTTTTCTGATTTCTCTGATGTGCACAGGTGACCTTTTCTCTCATAGCATCGTGTTTTAAGGATGCCTGGGTTTGTTTGAGTCAGGTGTGGAAAGAGATGCAGCCATGGAAATACCTATCAAGAAGGAAGAAATTAAGCTTCATGTGATGGTTGATACCTGTAATCCCAGCACTTGGGAGGCTGAGACAGGAGGATCACTGCATGCTCAAGGCTACTCAGTACTACGTAGTGAATTTAGGGCCAGCCAGAACTATGTAGTGAGATTATCTTAAACAAAAAAAAAAAAAAAAAAGAAGAAGAGATTTTTTATATCTTCAGATTCCTAGAAACCAGAAGCAATTGCCACAGCATGCAAGGCCTTGGGGAAACCCCAGGGAGGGTCAGCAGGTAGAAGGAGGAAATGGGGCCAACAGGCTTTTTTGTGGTTTCCACAGGAAGGAATGGGCAAGGCAGGGTTGGCCGGCTTGGGGTTGACTGCTTATGGTAATTTTGAGGACTCTGGGATATAAGAGCTTGTCTGTGACTGTCTGTGACTGTCTGGTCCTGGTCCTGGGGTGACTGAAGTGCATGGATGGTGCCCTTGAGCATAAGATCCCAGAAGACAGTGACTGGAGTGTGGGCTATGGACTTTTAGGTTTGTGTAGGAAGCGTAGGCTTGAGGGTGAATTTTTCTGTCTCAAAGAATTGGCTCAATTGGCTGAGGAGGTGAATGGCGTTGGAATCCAGACCAAGCTCTGCTTGCCATGCTGTGTGCCTGTATTCACTGCGTTTAGTGCAAAGACTGACTTTAAAGTCTGTGCAAAGACACTCTGTGTGCCAGCAGAGCCCCACTACAACGCTGTCCTTGTAACACACAATGCATGGTGGGGAGGCCAGCTGAGACCACCAGGCTTGTGCAAAGGCAACATGGCATGAAATTTACTGAGTCTGGGTGCAGGCAGACAGAGAGCGATAAGGCCATCTTCAGGGATCAGAGAAGAGGACCCTTTTTATAAGGCTTGAAAGAAGATAGGGGACATTAGGCAGGAAGATTTTAATAAGCATCTGTGGTCAGAGTTCTCTGGAGGTATTGCATCTCAGCAGGCCAAGTCCTAGAAGTGGTCAGTGTAAATTTTCAAGGGCTCCAGATGTCCCCAGATGTCTGCAGACACACCAGGACCTGCAGAATTCCTTGTCCTGTCTTACCTTCTTTAACCAGTGCTTGTTGATGACAGCTTTGGTGCTGAGCTGAGTTCCCTCCTGGGAGTAGTGCTTCTGCTGGCAAGCAGGTTGGGGGCTGGGAGAGTCAGGTTGGATTGGAGGCCTGCAGTCCTCAGGTTGCTGTTCTACTCGGGTGTGATTATTGTATCAATCTGTTTCTGTGGCTGGAGCCCGAGGTTCAGGAATGTCAGAATCTTGTCTGTTTTTGGATGCTCTAAGAAGGAAGAGCATCACTGGCTCCACTGTTATCTGCCCAGCGCCTGGCACAAGCTGGCATGTATAGTTGCTGGGCGAATGTTCATGGTACAAAGAAATGACTGGGCTGAAGGATGCATAGGACTTTAGAATCGGATGTTACCTGCACCCTATATCCTTTTGGTAGCAAAAAAATCAAGATGTTTTTGCCTGACATTGACTTGAGTAGCGTGAAGAACGTTCTCCTTTGGGAAGAGGTGGTCTCATGTCCCTATCTGGGTCAGAAAGAGCCAAAAAGGACTGGCTTTTACTTTCAGATTGGAGATGGTTTGTCAACTCTTCCCTGTGTGACTCCCCTGGGTGCTTGAGCTTCTGGCCACAGGGAAGGGGTGAACAACTGGCTGGCAGCCTGGACCTGGCCTTCTGAGGCTGCAGGCTGCAGATGGAGCCAAGAATCAACCTCAGCCCAGCCCGCTGGACCTGCCAGCTGCTGCCAGGTCCACAGGGTGATGGATGGGCTGAACCTTTATTCCTGATGTGCTTGGGCAACAGAAGAAAACTCGAGCCAACTTTCAGGGAGAGGCCATGGTGGTGCTGTGTGTGCTCGTCTGCATGTGCGCCTGTGCACGCGCACAGCTTTCCCTGCTGGACAGGAGGAAGCTGGGAGCTCTGCGGTGGTGCGTGGGCAGGAGAGGCGTCTGTGCCAAGCCTGGGTCTTGTCCTTAAGGGAGCCAGGGTAATGTTGCTAAGGAGCTAATGGGATGCGTATTTTCTTATCTCTCCAGGTTTCCATTCTATTATGAACTAAAAATAGCGTTTGTAGCCTGGCTGCTATCTCCCTACACAAAAGGCTCCAGCCTCCTGTACAGGAAGTTTGTACACCCCACGCTGTCTTCAAAAGAAAAGGTAATTGATGTTGCTTTGCCTTTCATTCCTCGCAGCAAGTGAAAGATTAAAAAAAAAGTGATAAATAAAAATGATTGTTGTATCACAGGAGATCCTGGATTGGCCTTTATTATCTCAACAATTTGTTGCTTCTAATGTTTTTGTTCTTTTTAAGTGGTGCTGGGCCTCTCACATGCTGTGTGCATGCTCTATTACTGAAATAGATCCCCAGCCCTCGTTTGTGTGGCACTGAGGACCAAGTTCAGGGAATGCTGAGCTGCATCCCCAGTTCTTTTTTTATTTTGAGGCGAAGTCTCGCTAACTTGCATTAGTAGTCCTCTCATACCAGCTTCCCAGTAGCTGGGTTACAGGCATGTGCCATCATGTCTGGCCCTCAGCCACTTTTAACTGTATTTTTTTTAACACAATGTATTTTTTTTTAGAAATAGTGGTGAAATATGTATTATAAAATATTTATATAATTTCAACAAAGAAAAAATTCACTCAATTCAATTTCCAAAACTGGATTTCCTCTTACCATCCTTAGCCCCTATCCTTTTGTAGAGATGATTTTATGTAGGTCATTTAAAAGTTTACGTAGAATCTTTTTTAAAGTGTATTATAGGTATTGGTGTGCATTTGGTTTTGGTTTTCTTTTCTTTTTTTTTTTTGTCTTTTTCATTTTTATCGGTACCAGGGATCAAACTCACGACTGCCTACTTGCAACGCAGGTGCTTATGCGGCTGAGCTAAATCCCCAGCCCCTGAGCTAAATCCCCAGCCCCGGTTTTGGTTTTCTTGAGCCAGAGTTTCACTGTGTAGCCAGGCTGGCCTTAAACTCACTATGTACTTAAGGCAGGCCTCTGTTGAAGTTTTCTGGCTCAATAAAGGAGCAGAATATAAGAAAAAGTAAAAGTGCCTTTTTATTTAAAGACATGGAGAGGAGCCCACAACCAGTAAGGGTTTGGCTTTCTCCTCTGACCGGGTATGGGGGTGTGGGGTATATGCGACTTTTGACTGGATGTGGTATGTGGGGCAGGCATTGATGATGTGCAAGGAGCTAATTGGAGTTTTCTTCATGCACATGGGGAAAGGAAGGAGGAAGCTGTAATCAGGGAAGGAGGAGGAAGTGGCCATTGGGGTAAGCATCCCTGATTTGGCCTTCCACCATGTTGGACTACCAGCATAATGTCCTGTAATTTATTCTAGGGCACAACTCTTTCAGCCTTGAACTCATGATCCTCTTCCTTCAGCACCCTGTGTGTGCTGGAATTGCAGGCATATGCCACCAAGCCTGTCTACATAGGATCTTTTTTTAAAAAAACTTGACATAGCTGGGTGTAGTGGTGCATGCCTATAATCTCAGCACTTGGGAGGCTGAGGCAAGAGAATCCCCTTGAGTTCAAGGCCAACCTGGACAACATAGTGAGTTCAAGGCCAGCCTAAACTGAACAATAGGGTGAGACCCTGTTTCAAAAAACAAACCAACTTGACATCAATCACAAAGCCTAAAAAATAAATGAAAATCTGTCTTCTGAGATCTTAAACATGTTTGCACACAGTCCTTTCTACTTGTCTTCATAATAGCCTAAAAGAAAGACCATAGCAGCCTTACTGCTGTTTAGATTATCTACATTTTTTTCTGTCACAGGCAGTTCTGCAGCACACACCACCTTGCTTGGAGTTTAGTTCCTTCCTTTGATTATCTTAGAATAAATTTCCAAGAGTACAGTGATTGTGTCAAATGATTCCAACATTGTACAATTCATTATTTATATTATTTTCTATTCTGATTGTATAGCAGAATTCTTCAAAATAAAATGACAGTGTTATAGGTGACCCACAGCTCTCTCTGCCTCAGAGTGGGGAGCCAGAGGACAAACTTCTGTCTTGACCTGGTTATCAAATCCTGCTCTTCTTCCTCGCTCACCCCCAGTGCTGGCCTCCCCTGAAGCCTTTACTGTAACTTCCATTGAGGTGGAAGTGATCCCTCTTGAAAGCTGCCAAGAATCACTTCCGGAGTCAGGCAGGCATTAGAGGGCTTCCTGCTGCAGCTTCCCGCAGAGGCCTTGCACAGGGAACCCTGCACACCTCACCGTACAGGAAGTGCACCAGTGTGCTGACCCTCAGAGGAGACCGAGGCCAAATGCCTTTGTCTCACTGGACTCTGCAAAACAGCTGCTTTCCCAAAAAGATGAGGACAACAGAACAAACCCGCACAAGCCGAGTAAACCAGATTTGATCCCAAGTTGAACTAAGCCAGTACTGTGCTTGGTTGGTCCCCAAAAGTAGATCTCAATCTTGTTTTTCTTCTTCACCTTTACCTTGTTGTATGATACCGAGTGATTCTAATTTTATTTTAATATTGTTAAATGATTTCCTTTATCAACAAATTGAATGGCCATTTCTTTCTGCTTTCTAATCCCTACCACTGATATATATGTATATCAATGTGAGGCATGATATATGATTGATATATATACATTGATATATATGTGAGGCAATATTGAATTATAGAATTTAATAACCAAACTTTAGAGCTGCAAGGGTCCCAGTCCTTGAAGACTAGGAAGATGGCAGTGGTTATCACTGACTGAAACCAGCTATGATGTGAGATGCTTTCCTGAAATGACCTCCCTTAACTTGCATATGCTGCAAGTTAGTATCATCATTATCCTCATTATCTGGAAGATAAAACTGTGTAGAGAGGCCAGCAGTGCCAAGGTGTGATGGCCAGTTTGTGACAGACCTGAGCTAGAAGCTCGGTTCTTGGCATCTGTCGGCCCTAGGTTCTTTCAGTGTCTTACAGAGCAGCTGTGCACAGAATGCCAGGATTGTCTCTCTCCCTGCAAGTTAGAGGCTTTTAGAAATAATCCCAGTGCTTGCTGCTGGGTCATTAAATTGCTGTTTTTTTCAGAAGTCCTTTTCCACCCCACCCGCCATGTCTCTTCTGTCTCTCTCCACCCACCTCTCTACACACGCATACTCCAAGTGTCTGACTTTTCAGGCCCAGTGAGAATCTGAGATTAGGCCACCTGCCAAGGGCAGCACTCAGCAGAAGGGAAAGAGAACACAGATTCATTTGAACCTGCCAACTCAGTGTGCCTGTCCTGTTCCTTTGACAGGAAATCGATGATTGCTTGGTCCAAGCAAAAGACCGGAGTTATGATGCCCTTGTGCACTTCGGGAAGCGGGGCTTGAATGTGGCGGCCACAGCGGCTGTGATGGCTGCTTCCAAGGTACGGGGCTGGGCTCTGACTTCCCTGGCTGTGTGGGCACCTCCCTTCCTGCTGTGCACCCTGCTTGTCACCTGCGCAGCTCTCATGGGTTAGACTGGGGGCCACTCAGGGGCTCCTTATCTTTCTGGGAGTCTCTTTGAAAATGTGATGGATAAAATGGTGACACTTGCCCCCGAACATTCATGTCAGTTTCCCCTCCCTCTGTCTCATACCCGCACATGTGCGCACGATATGTACACCCACAGGTTCCCATGGCCCCTGAAGCTGCCGTGTGGGTTCAAGGCTAAAAACCTCTAAGCTACTTGGAGCAGAGGCCTGAGAGACAGAGAAGGACGTGGAGGGAGAGGAGGGCATCTCTATCTAGCTCTTTTTAGAAATCCTCCTAGTTTGTCCTTAGCTTCTTCTCACATCACACTGTCTTTGCCTCAGGCCTGAACAATTTAACTGGTCAACATTTCCTCTAGCATAAATTCAGTAGGTCGCCCTAGCGTTGCCTGGTGGCAGCACCCTCCCGGGAATCCAGCTGTGGGGTGGTGGTCTGCAGTCAGCTGGGAGTGGAAGAAGGCAGTTTCACTGGGAGAAGACAGTAATTGGAAGGTCAGACTTGTTGGCAAAGTGATAAGTCCTGGGTGGCGATGCCAGAGCTTGGGGACAGAAGTGGCAGAGCTGTGAAAGGGTTTGGAAGATGACAGTCAATACAGGTCTGGGCACACAGACCCTCAGAGGAGACCGAGGCCAAATGCCTTTGTCTCACTGGACTCTGCAAAACAGCTGCTTTCCCAAAAAGATGAGGACAACAGAACAAACCCGCACAAGCCGAGTAAACCAGATTTGATCCCAAGTTGAACTAAGCCAGTACTGTGCTTGGTTGGTCCCCAAAAGTAGATCTCAATCTTGTTTTTCTTCTTCACCTTTACCTTGTTGTATGATACCGAGTGGGCTTTGAGTGAATGTGAGATGGGGAGTGCTGGAAGCCAGCTGGAACAGGGAATCAAGCTGTGTTCCTGTACACTAAGTCAGGGTGCACGCTAGGAACATTTCTAGGACTCCCCACCCAGGGCTTTGCAGTTGTCTCAAAAGCACCTCTGCTTGAAGTCAGGGAGTGCTGCAGGCAGAGACAGGGAGGGAGGGGAGGAGAACCAAGGATTCAGCCACTGGATTCAGCCGGGTCTGCCCACCTTGGTGTAAGAGCTGCTGGCAAAATGCTGGATCTCAGCATCTTTAGGAGGGAAATTCCACTGTGTTTCCTGAGGAGATCTGTCAAGATTTATAAAGAGCAGTGAATCCCAAAAACCTCCTATTTCCAATGCAACTATTGTATGCTCTTATTTTTAAATGGAAAGAAAATGCCATTACATTCTAAATAGGGCCAACTATACAACATAAAGCTACAGAAACCAGCTTGGTGTCCCTCTCTCTGTCCTATCTTCGCTACCTCGGAAGCCTGCAGGATGATGAGTACTGCTCCTCCCTCCGTTGATGCAGGAATTTAAACGTGGTGTATTTGTCTGAGTGTGGTACCATCGCCTCACTGCTCAGCATGATGCGCAAGAAGTTCATTCTCCCTGTCACTTGGACAGGGTGTTGCTTTTCCAGGACAGCCTTGAGCTGGATCCTCCAGAGCCCCAGAGGGGCAGTTACTGCCTGCCCCTCTGCCCTCCTGGGAAAGCCCACGGGGCCAAGACTTCTCCACCTTGAAACAGCCAAAACCTGGAGGAAGCTCAGACAGCCTGAAACTCACCTCAGGAAGTAACAGCTCATTAGCTCTTCCATTTGGGCTAAAGTACCAAACCGTCTGCTTTCTGTTGAATTTGGTTTCAGATGAGAAAATTTTCTTCTTGTAGGCTTTGCTTTTTTTCTGGAGAGAAAAAAATCTTCCCTTCCAAAAATAATGCCATTTCCTTTGAAACAGACTTGTACTATTTAAAAAAAAGAAAAAAATGGTAAACCCAAAATTTTTAGCCAGGCCGATGGGGTGTGCATCAATGGTTTCCATAGCAACAGTAGATCACACCAAGCAGGATCAGACGATGATGACTCACCAGTGGATCCAGATCTGGTTTTCAAGGCCAAACCACCTGAGAAGCTTTGTATTTTTTTAAGAGATTCTCTGATGTGCTGAATCAGAATCTCAGGCAGTGAGCCCATGGGGTCTCTATTTTTAACAATTTTCCAGGTGATTTTTTTTAAATGGCCAGCTCTGTACTGTTCACTGCCAGAGGCCGCAGGCAGAGCCGAGAGCACAGGTCATTAGACTTTAAACTGTTAGTTTCAGTACCTTTCCTGGGATGCAGATTTAACGCCTCAGAAGCCAAGCCTTGAAAATAGTAAAAGCAGTTTGTGTGTGTATTGCCCTGAAACTGAATGCTAGTTGAAAAACACGCTCATGTATCACTTACTAAGGGGGAATAAGTTCTATAAATTTACTATTAGACAATTAATTGTGTCACTGCAGGAGCATCAGAGTAAATGTACACAGCCCACATGGTACGGCCTGCTATGTGCCTAGGCTGGGTGGCAGATCCTCTCGTGTGTGTCCATTGGTGACCAAAACATCTTTCGTGGCACATGACTGTCCTGTAGTGGAACTATAGATTCTTCTAGCAGACTTCATTCTTCCCTTACTCTTCTGCTTGCTTTTCCATCCTTTGATGGTTCTCAGGAAGATACATAGAGCTTAAATGGAAGGACCACACTAACAGTTAATCTTTTGAAAATTAAGATTGATCTCTGAGCTTCTTTCCCTAATAAATTATTTGCAGAGTTCATTTTGTTTTGTTTTGCTTTGCAGTACTGGGGATTGAAGCCTTACACATGCTAAGCAAGTGCCATACCACCGAGGTACATCCTCAGACTTTTAAAAATTTTATTTTGAGACAAAGTCTGGATAAATTGCCCAGGCTGGCCTCAAACTTGTGATCCTCTTGCCTCAGGCTTCTGGGTTGCTGAGATTAGAAGTGTGTGCTCCTGGTCAAATACAAATTCTTATTATTGTTTTATTTTAGAAACTGGAAAAACCAAAACTAAAAAATTAGACTTCAGAAATCTCTCCCCAGGGCAGTTTTCCTCATTCCACCTTTCCGGTTTCTCAAGGTCTCCATCTCTGTCCCCCGGAAGTGATCCACCTTTTATCTAGGGGCCCTGGTCACTTGGCTGTCTCTGCTCCTCCATGTTCCCTGTCTTCCAACCGGTGATTCCAACCAGAAGGAAAACAGCCCCAGGCCTGAGCGTGGCCTTGCAAATCTCACTCTTAACCTAACGCTCTTGAAGCCCATTTGTTCTGTCAAACACATTCTCACTTGAAAGAGAGACACTAGTCAGAAGTAACAACAAAGTATTACAACCCCAGGCCTGCAGGCCGCCTTCCTACCTGTGAAATTTCAACTTTGCACTAGGTCTCTTCCACTTCCTCATTCTTAGATCTGGCCCAAGCCAACCTTGCTTTATCTCATAACTCAAAAAGCAGTGTTGCTTTAATTCTGAAGATCCTACAACAGTTATAATAGTACCTACCTTATTACTAAAGGCACCGATTGAAGAGAGCTGCTCAAAATAAAACTGCAGTCTGTGAGTTATAGATCCTCTCCCACAGATGGATTTCAGGTGTGGGTATGCAGGGGCACTCTCCCCATCCAGTATTCCCCTATTTGATTGTTAGCTTCTTGAAATGATGGGCTCTGGCTTCTTTTCCTTTGTTTCTTGTTTAAAGATAAATAGAAACAGAACAGTGCTTAGTTGTATAATACTTTGCCACTCATAAACCTGAGTGATGTGAAGTGTACTCATTTTGGTTCCTTCAGTCTTGCTCTGTCCAGCATGGCAACCACTTGCTACTTGTGGCTAGATGCAACTTAATCAAAATCAAGTAGGTCCTAAAGTTCAGCTTTCTCTGTTATTCTAACCCCACTTCCAAGTCCTGAGCAGACATCGTGACTGGAAGTCGACACAGACAGCACACTGCCTACATTAGAAGAAAGTTCCATTGGCCAGCTCTGCCCTAAGTGCCTTGTTAACACTCAGGGCTTCTTCTTTGCCTTACTGTCATCCCTTCACCTGTAGCTGCTTAGCTTTGACTAGACATCTGCCCCATCACCGAGTTCCTTGGGAGCCCTTTTAAGGCTCACCAGGAAAACAGGGTACTACAAACTTATCACATAGCGGTGGCTATGCTGTGGCTCCCATTTCTTCACCAGTACCACAATGGCATGCATCTTAGTTGTTACTAAGTGACCTCACAACTTTTCTGACTTTCCCATATTCAGGCATTTTGCCTGCAATTATGGTGTGTTGCCACTAGAGGGTAGTCAAAACTTGGCAGTTACCAAATACAGTGTCTGAAAAGATAAGCACACTCTTAATGAGAGATAAATTGTTTTCCTGTTCATTATTTACTCCTACTCAATTTTGTCTTTAAGAGGAAAGGGCTATAAGATAGTTCAACATAAAATGTAAAAAAGGAAGTCCTGTCCCTCTTATCCTCATTGCTTATCCATCAGTGCTTTGCCTGAACATCTAGCTTCAGAATAACGCTGCTTTCAATCCACCATAAAACTTTATTTTTGGAGTCAGACACTCATTCCAGGAAGTACATAAACCCAGTCATTTGGAGGCTTCTAACCTGATTGAGATCACTTGCTTTGTCTTGGTTTCCTTTCTAGTAAAAACCCACCTGTTTATAATTCTGTGTAAATAAAGATAAATATTATTGTTTTGTTTTGTTTTTACCTATAAAACCTCTTGGAATGGGCTAGAGATGTTGCACTTGCCTAGCATGTGTGAGGCTCCAGGTTTAATCCCTAGCACCACAAAATGGTGATTATAGAAATACCTCCTTGATGAACAGTGCTTGGGAATTATCTCCATTTCTGAGGAAGAAGAGGACATGAATGTCTACTCCCTATGTCTTCTGAATCTATAGGGCTAAGGACTCCAAGAAGTCAGTGCTTGTCCCTCCACCCCAAGAGGCTACTTCCTGGCCACCATGCTACCTCAGTCCAGTCAGCCATTTTTACTTCTGTTTCAGTGAGACTGTGGGACCTAATATTAATCTTCAGAATTCACTACAGCAACCAGTTTTAAACACCAAGGTTGTGCAAGAGTGATGGCCAACCTGCTGAAAACTGGGAAAGTGATCCTCACCCTCCAGTCTCCCACGCAACTGCTCATATCCTGGCTGGGCTTTTCAAAACATGTCTAAAGCAGAGGGCTGGGGATTTAGCTCAGTGGCATAAACACTTGCCTGAGAAGTACAAAGTCATGAGTTCAATCCCCAGTACCAAAAAAAAAGTCTAAGCAAAACTGAGCAAGACTTTTCACCGGTGTGGTTTTCCACACTCTCCTTTATCATCCTGTGCCCTGCCATTCTGGAGTTGGCACTGCCTGGTGTCCCCTCATCTCTCTTGCAGGTGCTGGGCTATAGGCCTGTGCCACCATGCCTGGCTGTCCCACCTTCCGATACTAAGAAAATCTCCATCGTCTCAGATGCTCAAGCCACAAATCTCTGTCCCTCCTGATGCTCCAGATTTTCTCCTCGTACTCAACTCCTGACCACGTGGCATCCCATTCCTCCTCTCAGGCCTTCTTCCCCTCAGCCTTCCTTCTAGCTTAGACTGCTGCAGTCGCTATGCAAGCACCGACTGCTCTTCCCCTTCTTGTGTGAGGCCCGAGCAGTGCAGCCCTGATCCCAGCTTTCCGGTCTTGCCTCCCTTGCTTCCCAGCTCTTCAGGGACTATGCCCACAGTACCACTTTCTTGCTGCAACTTGGAGTACTATTTATGGAAATTTATCTTTCTGCACTCTGCCTTAGTTCTTGTCTTTGCTTCATTGGCCTCTGTTTTGACCTCTTTGGAATGCTGCTCACCCTCAAGGTCAATTGCTGCCTCTTCCATGAAGCCTTCTGTGATCCCAGATAGACCTGGTCCCTCTCCCACCGTGGCCTTCCAATGGCACTGTGTTGCTGCCATTTATATTTGTGTCATATGTGTCCCTAGTAGGTAAGTGCTCAATGAGTGTTAAAGGACTGGAGTACGTATTTTTAGCTGCCATCTGGTAGAGAGATGCTCAGCGTCAAATCTATCCTAAGCATGGGTTTGGAAATGAGCAGACCTGGTGGACAAGTGCAGCTCCTTTCTGTGGAACCTCAGCTCTCCCCTACACCACAGAGATGACAGTTGTACCTGCCACAGAATGGTTATCAAGTGATGCGCCTAAAGAATTTACTTTAGAAGCCAAGTGTGGTAGTATAGGCCTGCCATCCCAGCCACTCTGGAGGCTGAGGCAGGAGGATTGCAAGTTCAAGGCCAGACTATACACTTTAGCGAGACCCTGCCCCAAAATAAAAAGAGAAAAAAGGCTGGGGGATGTGGCTCAGTTGTAGAGCACTTAACTAGCATGCAGAGGCCCTGGGTTCAATCCCTAGTACTGCCTACCTCCAAAACAGCTCACAATAAATACTGCTTAAAGATCACCCACTCTAGTCCGACCTCAGTTTGCTTTTTAAGGGTGATTATGATCTTTTCACTGTCAGACAGAGAAAAACCAAGTCAGACGCTGGCACTTTGAGGCTGTTTACCAGCACACTGTTTGGGAGAGGAGGCTGAGTGTCCTCTCTCTTCTTGGTTCCCTCACATGGACTCTATGTGAGCCATTCTCTCACCCCAGGCTTCGGGTTCCTCACTGCTCTGTCCTGACTTTCCACATAATTCTTCTTCCTCCTCTTCAGCCCAGCAGTTGGGGTCCCTCAGGGTTAAACAGGTGAGCACCTCCCCCCAACCATCAAGAGAGCAGACAGGTCCTATGGGGCTGGAACCTCACCTTGTGGAGGAAACTGGGCCCAGGGATGTTGAGTGACTTGCCCAGGGTCACACAGCTGTCTGTTGCTGAGCTGAATTCAGAGTGAGGGTCTCTGGTTCACGTCCAGTGCTCCTTGCATCCCTCCAAGCATCCCACACACCTGTATATACCCTGGCAGGCACTTCTTCCTCTTTTCCACTTCAGTTACAAAACCAGGCCCCATGCTTGTTTGGCCACTTTGTGGCAAACCCTGTGGAAGTACAGTGGCACAAGAGACTCCTGGCTAATGCCACCAAGACAGGGTCTCTATTGACTTTAAAGCAAGGCGAGGACAACACTAAAAGGCAGATATCAAAAACACCATGAGTTAGAGTTTCTATATGATCTGGAGGCTGACTTGGGCTCATGAGCTGTTTTTACAAATAAAGTTTTATTGGAACACAGGAAAAAGTGTAGTTTCCTTAAAGCCCTACACATCTGATACCTTGGAGATGTTTGTGCATGTCAGGAGGACAGTGGCCCCTGACTCTTCACAGACTTGTCCTGTGCTCGCCCATCCCTAGTTTTTTCTCTTTTTGATTGTCCCTTTGCAGCAGGGCCTCTCCTGCATCCTGCTTCCCCCAGGAAGAGGGCTCTGCCACCATGTTATCCTCCCTTGGGGCCTCTGAAGGAGCAGATGCCGCTGCAGCGGAGCTTCCAGCAGGGGCATGGCCCTAACTTCTGCCACTGCTGTGTGTAGAAGATCTGTCCTAGTGAACCCAAAGCCCCATCTGTTGGGTGATGCCTGACTCAGATGCCCAGGCTGGCCTGGGTCACAGATCTGACCTCCCTGAGCGCTGTCACCATTCAGCAAGGCCCCCTCACTTCACAGCGCCTCCTCCTCCCTCCTCAGCAGCTTCCGGGGCGCCTCACCAGCCTGCTCCAGCCCTGATGCACCTAGCCAGCAGCCCTGACCCTGTCTCCCAGAAAGGGCCCTGCAGGGCAGGAGACCAGGGCAGTCTTCATTCCAGGCCGCCCTGCTGCCGACTGAGAAGACTGCCCAGTTCTCAGTGTGTGCCACAAAATGCTTCTAGAATGTTCTCCTTCTAAAATCCTGTTCTCCACATTGCTTATTACTCAGAAACTCTGTGAAGTACTGTTGTGTTTGCTGTTTGTTTTTGGTTTTTGTCAACAACCCCTAGGTTTCCCACCAAAGCCTCTTCCCCTCGGTGGCACTTACCCAAACACACCTTGAGTTTTCTGTGTTCACACCTTGCCTGAGCCACTCTCTGGCAGCCCTGAGCCTCCCTTTTCTCTGTGAGGCCTCCTCTGCCTGTTCAGCTAACCACGCTGTCCCCGACCTGCACTGTTGCACATTGTGTCGTCTTTGTCACTTGTTGCCTTGTACACATTTTTGCTTTGATGACCCAGCTAGGCTGTGAGCTCCACAGAAGCAGGAGCCATGTCATGCGTATCTCCGTTCTTCAGTGGGATGTCAGACAGAGCTTTGCAAGCATTTCATTGGGGTTTGTGAGTGAATAAAAATAAATACATGAGTAAGCTGGTGAAGGCAAGATGTGAGGACGCACGACTCCTTCAGTCCCCGATTGCTGGCTCGGTGCCCACAACTTGTTTTTCTCTTGTCCTCCTCTCCCTTTATCAGGTGGCTCGCCTCTTTCATTTTGCCTCCTCTTTGGACCTCAGAGAAGGGCAGGTAACCCCGCCGAGAGGCATGACTAACTCCAAACTGATCCAGAATGGTGGAGAGGCCAGGCAGCCGCTTCTACCCTGCAGCCCCGGGGGTGGCTCGGAGGCAGGTGTCTCTCCCACCTTGACCCCTGTGTGAGCGCATGTGTAGCCCCACGCGGGGCGCATGGAGCAGCTCCTACCTCCCCAGCCTTCCAGAGCCTCCTGGTGTCTCATCTGGAGCATCTAATGTGTGACTAACTGGGTGGGGCTTTTCCTTGTCTTTAGTGCCTGGAGCACGAACTGAACTTGATTGTCAATGCTGTCACGGGACAACTCTTGTCTTTCTCTCTGATTTGTTTGTTACTACAATTCCATTGCCATAAACATGGCCCCAGTCGGTCGTGTAGAGCATGTTGATAAGAAGCCTGCCTGGCCTTGGTGTGGAGCATGTGTGGCCGCTGAGGCTAACTGCCCGTGAGCTGGGGACGAGGAGGTGTTGAGACGGGACCACTAACTTGTGGATTTCTGGGGAAAAGTGGTTATGCTGGCGGCTTTGTTGTCAGGTGCCTGACTCACTAAAAATTTTGGCCTAGTGTACTGTCATTGTCAGCAGCAGCAGGCATTAGACAGTGTGCAAAGTGAGATGGGCTAAAATCCACGCCTCCCAACTCTTCCTGTGACTCATCAAGGGCTTACGATACTCTGCTTCTGGAAATTCCATATCTTCCCTCTCCATTCTGTTTGAGTTTTTGAAAACATCTCCAGTGTCATTTTTTGATTTAGATGGCATTTGTCAGCATCATACAACTCCTGTATTCACCCAATAGGGTCTTCAGGGTGACTTCAGAGAGTGCTGTGGTGTTACTGATAATTATATTGTCCTGACTTCTTAAGGTAACGTGCAGTCCTGGTGCAGCATGCTGAAAGAGCGACAGAGGGCCTATAGTGAAGAGCAAGGGTCACTCCTGCCTTCCAGGACACCCCGAGAAGGCAGGCACTTGGAGCAGATGCTAGCACACATGGCTGTACTCCATCTCCAGAGCTCGCTAAGATGCAGAGACCCGCTCTAGAGTGGAATGAGGTGGCAGCACCCGGTGGTGACAAATACTAAGAAAAACACTTTCCTTTTCACCTGGTCCCCGCCTTGACCCACCAGACCCTCCAAGGCCAGTTCAAGGGCAGTCGGTCTTCCCCGGGACACCTTGCTCCTCACATGAGTGCCCTCTGTCCTTGGCACCCTGTACCCCTCTGACATTTCTCACATACTCCTGTTGGACACATCCCAAGGCTCCATTCAGCAGGATGCTCCCTCAGGTCTGCAACTCTGGCTGAAGCATCTGGGTGGGTTGGATGAAGGTCTCCTGCTGCTGTTCTCAGGCAGCTGAGATGGTGACAGATTCATTTATCCAACTCTGTGAACCTCTAGTAGAGTGGTAGATCCCAGGCAGCAATGGTAAGGAAACAGGCTTCTGGGGAGACAAACCAAAAGCGAAGCCAACCGCTAAGGGTGACTGTGTGGAGCACCACAAAGACTCACAGGTGCACTGAGAGCATATTTCAGGAAGTCACGGTGGTTAGAGAAAGCTGCTCTGGGCTGTGCAGTCTTACTCAATTGAATCTAAATGCTGAGGTTTCTAAGGCATAATGGTCTTGTTTTAAACTGATACTGGGGATTGAACCCAAGGTCTTTGCATTGAGCTACATCTCCCCAGCACTTTTTAAAATTTATTTTGAGTCAGGATCTGCTAAGGCTGGGCTCAAACTTGTGATTCAGCTGCCTCAGCCTCCTGGGGTGGTGGGGTGATATCATTATCTTAAGTATCACTAAGGAAGAAGATATTGGCAGTGAAATTAGATCACCATGTGTTTTCACTTAGAGTGTTTACTACTTCTCATTGAAACGCTTAGTCGTGTGTGTGTGTGTGTGTGTGTGTGTGTGTGTCACTTTGGCACACACAATTAGAAAGAGCACAATAAGTGGGTTAAAGTCCTCCTAACCTCACTCTTCTCTGACAGAGTGGTCTTCTGAGCCACTTTTCAGCTCATCTTAACCATTTATAGCCATGCTGTACCATTCTCTGCTCCTTCCTGTGCCTTGCTAATGGGGAGCTATTTCTAGAACTTTCTTTTAAGGTGCTGAGACCCATCCTGTCAGTTCTGATGCTGCCATTTTCGTTGTTGTAACAGAAGGTGTCAGTGGAATGTGTTAGACAAGCAGGACTCATATTCCTTCCTCCTGTGGTTGCTAAGGGGTTTGTAGCCCCAGAGGCTTCCATTGCCCAGCCGTGCCATGGGGCATGACGGCCAGGTGCATTCTTGTGTGGACAGTGATGACCGGGGGGGGGGCGATGGTAGCAGTTGTAAGATCATCCAGTTGCAGAGATGAAAATGCATGTGTTCTTGGAGCATCATTTACAAGAAGTCTCAGGCTAAGCGGGAGGTGTCATTATTCCAGGGACCTAGTGATATCGAGGCTCTGTGTTTCTCTTGCTCAATAAATGTCAGTTCCAGGCCTCTGAGCCACACAGAAAGCAGAGAACAAGGTCAGGCCTTTCTCCTCCTACACATCAGGAAAGTAACTTTTCCAGAAATCTCTCTACAGATTTCCTCATACATCCCTTTAGCCAGAATTGCAACTAAGGCCTTCTGTAGTTGCATAGAAGGTTGGGAAATAATGTTTTTTTCATCATCATTCTAAGAATGGAGTTGGGAATGACTTTCTTTTTTTTTTTTTATTTAAGGAGAAAAGAAAAAAAAAACAGTGAAAGGGTACAAGTTATACAGATTTACAGAAGAAAAAAATGAACAGTAGGAAATCATTAGTTAATGGATTACATATTGCCATCTTAGAAATAATTATTCAAGTCACAAAATTAAAGCTTGTAGAGTGGACATTCCAACAATGATACTGCAATCAGTTCTGTTCAATGATCCAATAAAACTCTGTGATATCATTTTCTATGTTATACACTTAAATATACATGCAGTTATATAGTTTAGAGCACTTTCTTTTCCTCTCTTTTGTACAATGACTATTACACATTTTGGGTTTCATTGCTCCCACGGTTCTGGGAATGACTTTCCCAGTGGGTCCCATTGTGGTCAAGTACACTGGGGATACACGGAATTAAATAACCTGGAACACTGAAGGACTCTCAGAGCTTTGAGCAGTAGGCTCATTAATTTGAGGATATAGCATAGAGCTTTTCCAGACTTAGGGAACCCACTCCATGTTTATTTTCCCAAAGTAAGGATAACTAGGTTGATCCCAAAAGTCAGCGGTCCAGAATAAGTGAACGAAGGTTTTCTGGAGCAGAGCTGAAGAAGAGGGTAGACTGAGGTTTGCGGGAACTAAAATAGAATGAGCTTTCGAGTAGAGGCAGAGCGTGGCTGAGAGGTTTACCAATGAGGGAGACATATTGATTTTAAACATCTGCGACTGTTTTGACAGAGAAGGGCTAATTTGTTTGCAAGACTCTTTATTTCCATGCCACTGTGACTGACTCCGACACGGACTAGATGGGAAGTGAGCTATTATTATCTCCTCTTTCCTAACCCTGCCACTTCCAGTCTTCCTGATGCTAGTGATATTAGAACTGGGAGTGAAACAGAGCCCTTTGCTAATGCAGACGCCGTGATGCCCGCTGCTGCTTCCTCTCAGGCGCACTGCTGAGCGCTGGCAGGAACTGGCAGATGACACGGATGGACCGAGTCCCTGACCGTTTTATTTGTACTTGCAGTCATGAAGCCCCTCCTGGTCCTTTTGGATAAAAGCGATCTTTTCCGTTTTCTGATTTCAGCAGCCACTTAGTGGCAATATCCTCTTCGTCACCATGGTTGGCGTTTTTTGACATTCCTCTGTCTCTGGCTCTGTAATGGGTATTTATCTGAAGGGCATAATTTCACCGCATCCTCAGCACCATCCTGCCAGCTGGGTGATCTTCTGCAGATGAGTGTAGAGGTGCGAGAGGCTAAGGTCGCCTGGCTGCTAAATGACAGGAGCGGAATGTAAATCTAGGCCTGACTTGAGAGCCATAGTTCTTATGTTTATCTTCTGTAGCTTTCGGTATGGCACTTCTGTGTTGTCATTTATACTCTTGTCTTCTCGTGTTTTGTCAGAAATTGAGCCACGTGTTTCTGTTCCCTGATAACACCTAGTGCAATGCATTGCCCACAGGAAGTGCTTGATAAATCATTGTTGAACAGATTAGTAAACAAACGGGAAGACAAATAAAAGAACATGTCAGTGAATGGTTTGCCTGATTGTTAACCTCACGTTCAATTCCTCGGTTATAATAATCAGACTGTTTTCTCACACTTTTCAGCCTCATGGTTTGTTCTTCCAAATTCTAGATGTCAGGCTGGGCATGTGGCTCAGTGGTAGCATCTGCCTAGCACACAAAAGGCCCCAGATTCAATGCCCAGCACCACAAATATAGCTAGAGTCTAGATGTCTTGTAAAATGTTCCTGAGTAAGATGACCATGGGTAACTCACTGGCTGTTAGATTTAGAAGGGATACGATAGGGCGGGGCAGGGTGTGCGGCTGATCCAGCCTTCCTTTTCTTGGCAAAGACCCCCCACCTGGTGTTGATTTCTGGATGTGAGGCCTGGATGCTCACCTGGATGCTGGGGACTATTGCTCCCCAGCAATCTAGAGCAGTATCTGAGGCAATGAGGGTGATTTCTGTTTTTTTTTTTTTTTTTTTCACATAATGTCCTCCAAACACTCCTTTGCCTATGTTTATAATCATAATATATATATATGTATGTGTGTGTGATTATTTACTTTTCTCTTGTTATTGTTAGCTTCCTGGGGCATGGTTTATATCTTCGGAACATTGGGAACTTAGCTACTTCATATCAAAATGCTTCTTTGCTGCATCTGACTTTTCTTCTAATCCTTCTTGCGAGCCCCTTTTGTTTGGCCCTTTTCTCCAACTCCTTTCGCTTGAGCCTTTTCCCATCTGGAGCTGTCACTTTTGTGGATTGCTGTGCTTGTGAGTCTACCACTTCACTTTCATTACTATTATTATTAGGTAAAATGAGAAGCCTCTCCCAAGCCGGCTTCCCTCCTATGAAAGCCTCAGCCAAAGCCCTTTGGGTCCTTGCTTGTCTCATCATCCAACCCACCAGCCTGGATCCGGTTTCAGCTCCTCTGATCACCTCTGTGCTGATTTGCTGGTTCTGTTAAGTCACTGGGCCTTGTTGTCCCCAAGCCCTCCAGACTTCTAGGGCTACTCTTTCATTATCCAAACAAAACACGCCTCCCACTGCTGGTGTCCCCTGTGGCTGTGGTCCCCACTTCTGCCCCTGGTATCTGAGAGCAGGCTGCATCCTCCTCCCACCCCCAAATCTGAACATGCCAGAGTGCACAAATTCGTCTGGTGGTTACTTGCCTGTCACTTCTTGCTTCAAATCCCAGCCAGTTCTCAGGGATCCCAGCCTCCCGCCAGCCCCAGTTCCTATCCCCAAACGTGAGTCTCTCCCACCCTGAGGCACACTCAGACCTAGCTGCCTCCTAGGCTTTCCCTGTGATCCTTGCTGTTCGCCAGATTCTCCCCAGCAGGCAGCCAAGAGCTTCTCTTTCATGTGTACAGTGCATTTATCTTGCTTTCTTCAACAAAAGAGCAGCCCTCGCCCGCGATTAATCCTGTGCCCCACCCCCAAGAATATGACATGGTTAAATCTGCAGCAGGGATTTTTTTAAGTATCGTTTTTCCTTCCCTGATTCATTACCTTTTAGGTATTTTATGAAACCCAAATGTGCCAACATAAATGTGCCTTTATAAACAGGAACAGCTGTACAGATAGAAGAAAGGACAGCTAAAAGAAGGGACAGTCACACATTACAAAATACTGTCTATATTTTATATCCTTTGAAGAGTTAGGACTGAGCACAGAATGTTAGGTTTTGATTTTCTGACCAGATTCTTACATACTGGGGATGAGGAAAATGAAGCCATATATGGATTTTTACTTATGTAAAGCCAGGAAGCAGCCAGTGGTCTCTAGTGTAAGCTCAGCGGCAGTCACCCCCTGACCCTGGACCGCCTGGGGCTCCAGCTCATCATGGGGTGTCTGAAGGAGAAGCCTCGAGCCTGAGGAGCAGTGGCTGAGCTCCCTGCGGGGTGGGTTGGAAGCTCCAGGGCCTGGGTCCCCTCACTGTGTCCAGCAGTACCTCTAATCTTGATTTCCACCTCAGCAACCCTCAGAACAAGGGCTCCTCGGCCTTTGTCTGTCCCCACTGCTGTCCACAACCCTGTGCCAGGCCTCTGACGTGTGCCCTCCTGTGTTGTGTCCAGGGACAGGGTGCCTTATCAGAGAGACTCCGGAGCTTCAGCATGCAGGACCTCACTACCATCAGGGGAGACGGTGCCCCTGCTCCCACAGGTCCCCCTCCACCCGGGGCTGGGCGGGCCAGCGGCAAACACGGCCAGCCTAAGATGTCCAGGAGTGCTTCTGAGAGCGCTGGCAGCTCAGGTAGGTGTCTCTTCCCCTCCACTCACCTGCCCCTGTTCCTCGCTTTCATTGAGAGGCACTCAACTTGGCCCTTGCCCAGGGACCTGCCACTACCAGAGATGTCCATCAGATCCTGTCAGCTGAGGGGCAGAGTGTCACTCAGGCCAGGAAGCTGGCCTGGGGACTTCGAAGTGGAGGCTCCACCTGACTGCCTGGAGAATTGGGGTGCTTGAGTGGCAGTGCCTGGGCCAGCCCCTGAGGCACCAGGCACAGCTGGAGCTGGGCGGTGGGTGCCTTCTTTGTTCTCTTCCTCTCTGGCTCCACCTTCGGGGCCTTTCCTGTTTTGACTACCCCTAACAGGCCTTCTTCTGCCTAGCCATTCCCTGTCCTCTCTCTCACTCTTATGTCTGCTCCTCTTCCCTGACCACCCACTCATCGTGCACACCAACAGCCCCCACAGACCCTACAAGGGGTCTCTGAGGTTTAGGTCTGTGGGTGCCACACCTGTACCTCTAATGTCTAATTTCAATTTTTTCACACCTGTCATGAGGCTGTTCATGTGGGAACCAATCTGGGGGAAGCTCGTTCAACATACAGAGCTCCTGGGCCAATCCCCAGAGGCCTCAGTAAGTCTGGGATGAGACCTAGATGTGTGATGCTGTTAAGGTGCAGCTGTGTTGGGGACCCAGTAGCATCTGATTCTCAGCATGGGTTTTAGGCTCACAGCAAATTAGGGAGTGGACTTGAATTGGGAACAGGGACCAGGGAGTCACAGCTGAGCAGTGCTGCTGCTGACAGGGATGATGGAGGTGTGGAGGACACTGCTGGTCTGCTGCCGAGGGGGAGAGTGGGACATGGGCCAGCCTTTTGGGATCTGTGGATGTGTCCCTGCTGACCACCCTGCCTGGACTCTGACAGTATGCTCCGAGGTGCAGCTTGCAGGGGAACCTCTGCCCTGAGCCACAGGTCCCAAAAGACCCCACCTGACTTGGGGTGGGGGAGCATGACCCACGTCTCCCTGAGAATGGTGATGCACACTCAGAGCCAAGCACCCATGGTGTCTGTGTTCCTGCCCTTTTCAGGAATGTTCCTTTTGTCCTCCTGTAGGTTTGATAAGTATAGTTTTTAGTGGGAGTTGTTTTAACCCCAATAGGTAGGTAGGGCCAGGGAGGTAGAGGCTTGGCTGTGGGGGTGAGGCAGGGCTTGTCTCTCTTTTTCTTTTTTCTTCTTTTCTTTCTTTCTTTTTTTTTTTTTTTTTTTTTTTTTTTTTTTTTTTTTGAGACGGTCTTGCTATGTAGTCCAGGCTATTTTCAAATTCATGATGATATCCCTGCCTCAGCTTCCCAAGTGCTGGAATTACAGACATGTACCACTATGCTACTGAGCCTCAAATGAGAGCTGTCACTTGGAAGGAAAAAGGGCCCTATTCTGTGAGGCCCATAGGGCAGAGTAAGAACCAAGGGACAAAGTATGCACTCTGTAGTCCTGCGAGCTGGGCAAGCTCTTCTAGCTCAGATTCCTTATCAGTACCTAGGGTGTCATCATCTGTAGGGATCAGCTAGAATAAGCTGGATAAAAGTACTCAGTGTGGTGCCTGGCACCAGTATATAGTAGCTACTATTGGTCTTGTTGTTATTTATCACACCCAAGAAAGCACTTTGTGATACTGAAAGTGTCCAGGAGAAAAATGGACTGAGTTGTGAAATAGTGAGATCCCAGACATTTGAAGGGCCCAAGCCAAAGCTGAATGGCCGGGCTGCAGACAGGGACCCCTGCTTTGGCTGGGAAGTGACCTAGTGGCCCAGCAGTCACTTCTCTCTGAGAGTCTATCTTGCCATTGTAGAGGAGGTACTAGAAGGGGAGGCAGGCTCAGGGAAGTCATGCCCTAGGCCAAGGCCACAGAGGCCCAGAATCTAGGCCTGCTGCTGAGATTCCCCTTGGAAATTTATCTAGGGCAGCCTCAGAATCGGGAATGTGAGAGGCCTGGCAGGATGTTGGGAATGTCTCCTGGGCCTTGATAGCTTCCAGGCCCAGCACCAGGAAAGAAGTTCAGATGATTTGCTTTGGCATTCGCTATGCCACCTCTATTAGGAGAGGGGTGACATCTCTGCCACACTACTCCTTCCCTAGGCAACTGGAAGGGCTTCAGTGTGGGGCTGAGAGACCCAGCCATGTTGGAGTGTGGCCAGCCATGCTCGGCCCTTGCCCTTGACTTCAACACCTGTGAATTCTACAAGGTGGAGGAAGGAGGTGCTGGGCCAGCAGGGAGGCCAGGGGTGGGTCAGCACTCTCCCCAGCTGTTCTGAGGGCCAAAATAAAGGCGTCTCAGGAAGAAATACAGATGAAAGGTGGCCCAGGCCTCGGTGTGCAGAACAGAGTGCTGTCACTCCCTGAGCGAGGTCAGGGTGCCCAGGAAGAAGTCCATTAGAGGAGGCCCTGACATCCAGTGTTGCTGTGCCCTCCCCCACTCCAAGGCTGGCAGCGTGGACCTCAGGTGCCAGACTGGTCAGATCGGGGAGTGTCAGAGCAGGGGAGCGGCTGGGCTTCTGGCTTAGGGAGGTAACACTGGGCTGTGGAGATGCCATATTTGTCCTTCCTGGGCCTACACTCAGCTTCAGAACTTTTCTTAGGACAGTGTGCCCTAGACAGTCACCCCAGGGATTCAACCTTGATGTGGAGACTGTCCCAGTTCTCTTCAGTTTTTGCCTTTGGTTAAAGGATCCCATAATCCCTGTTCAGCCTATGTCTTGGGGTTGTGTGACAGCAAATGAGACCATTTACAAACTCTGGACAGGTGTCACACATTGAAGACAGCCCGGGAGTGACAGGTACAAGGTGGTGGCTGCAGCCCCAGAGTTCTGCACAGCTGTGAGAACCCACAGATTAAACTGGCACACAGATGCATCCCAAAGGCTGGTGCCTCCTGAGAAAAGTACAAAACAATGCAATTTTATGTGACAATTTATGTAAAATAAAAATCTATGACCATCATGCAAAGTAACACTGTGGATTCACAAGAACACATCTAAACAAAAATATGCACACTTGGATATTAAAATCGCTGCCCTTTGAGGAGGGAGGAAGCATGAGCCACAATGTGCCAGGATGAAAGTCACACATATGCACATCAGAAGGGAGGAGGTGCCCATGAAACGGGGAGGGCCATTTGCTGAGAGCTGAGAAGGAAGATCACTCAGCCCTCTGCCTCTTGGAGAAAGAAAGAAAGAAGCAAGCAGAGAAAGAAAGGAGAAAGCAAGCACATAAAGTATTCCTGCATGCTCCTAGCAAGTGGACGCAGGTCCTCTGCCCACCCTGCAGCTGCCCCAAAGCACACACACCTGGAACACAGAGGCCCCGGAGTGCAGTCTGAGGAGGATGCAAGGTCTGGGCATTGGAGTGGGGCTGGACATTGCCCCTGCCCCTGGCCCTCTCATCTGCTTGGAGTTTTCCCCGTGCCTCAAAGAGTGAGGGCAGGCAGGGAATGACATTGCCCTGCCTGCAGAGTGAACTGAGAGGGACATGCACACCATATACTGAATGTCTAGCATTGACCACCAGAAAGAGTTAAAAGATTGATTGTGGCCACGCATGGATCTGGAGTCACTCAGCCTGCATTTAGTGAACACCTACTACCTACCAAGGCCCAGGTGCACCACAACCAATAGTGTAGGCAGGAAGTAGCCAGTTAGGCCTTTGGCCCAACACCCTGACACTGGACATTTTCCTGTTTGGGGGTCCATGTGAGGCCTGAACCCAAAGGCCCAGAAAAGAAGCTTCTGGGAGGGGAGGTGTTGGAGCTGTTTCGTAGAGGAAACTCCTGTTCCATGCCCTACCCTCCCTTCAGCTGCACAATGCCAGGCCTGACCTTTGTGGACCAGAGGAGGGTATTTTCTAGATAGCACCTGAAAAGAAGTGGAAAATGAGATAATCCAGCCCCACCTTGGGGGTCTCTGCTGAGACCCACTTCCCTGGGAGCACTCTATCTAACATCCAGGGATTCCCACAGTGCCCAAGGACCTCCCTATTTACCAGGGCTGGGGGGATATCACTGATGGTGCCCCACCCCATTCCCACAGTGTGCACCTGCTGCTCCACCTGCCGGACCCGAAAAGGTGAGTAGGTAGCCAGCCTCTTCACGGCCTGCTGGACTTGCCACAGACTGAGGCTCTAACCCATAGCTATCACCTGACCTTGGGCTCCCTTTCAGCTGCATGGTTGGGTGGGAGGGCACAGGAGACTAATTCCTTAAAACAGCACACACAGTGCCTTCCAGGTCCTAGCTAGAAATCTGGGAGCGGCTTGACCTCTCAGAAGGCTGCAGTCAAGCTGTGCACCAGCGCTTGAGTGATCTTGGAGGATCCATTGCAAGGTGCCCCTCATTGTTCTTAGCTGAGGCCCTCAGTTCTTTTTTTTTTTTTTTTTTTTTGGTCTTTTTCGTTTTTATCGGTACCAGGGATCGAACTCAGGACTGCCTGCTGGCAAGGCAGGCGCTTATGCCGCTGAGCTAAATCCCCAGCCCCGAGGCCCTCAGTTCTTATCACAAGTGCCTCTCCTCGAATGCTTGAGCATCCTTGCAACATGGCAGGCAGCCTGGTCCAGAGTGATCTAGAAGACAGAGGGCAGGCAGGAAAGCACAGTATCTTTCATAAACTTGACTCTCAAGTCCTACCCACTGCTTCTCCATTACTCTTATTTGTTGGAAGCAAATTATCAATCCAGCCCACATTCAAAGGGAGGAGCATTATCTCCACCTCTTGAAGGAAAGAATATCAAAGGTTGTGTTCTGGACAATGAGAACAAAAACTTGCCAAGATCCTCTGAAGTCATGAAGCCCTGCGTTTCTAGAGGGTTCTGGCATTGGTGCAGCCGAGGGAGCCCTGGTTTTGCTTTGCCACTTATTAGCCGTGCAACTTCGTGTGAACCACTAACTATTCTGAGCTCAGGTTCTTCATCTAAAAATGGAGATAAAGGTTCCTGCTTTCCTGCCTCACTGCACTGTGGTGAAAATGACTGTGAAGGGCTTTCTGGAGGATTCCTGTTATTATCGCCTAGAGAAAGCAGGACAGCTCAGGGAGAGAGGTGGAGTGTGGGTTTTCCACTTTGGGACAGGGCCTCCTGCTGCTGTCCATTCAGCCTGTGTGAGGGATGGCGTGATGGGGCCATGGCACCCCTGATATTGGCCATGTTATTTTCTCATGACCTGTTTGTTTCTCCTGTGTGTCTGACCTCAATTGGGTCAATGAAACCATCCTCAGGGGACCTTTCCTGGCTCCCCTATGGAGGAGCTGCCTTTGGCTTGGAAGGTAGAGAGGTCATCTTGGTCTACAGCTTGCTGGTGATGTGAGGAAGAGAGGAAGCCCAGGATGGCCTGTAACCCTAGCTCTGTGCCACTGTGACATGGTATGTGTCTCTCACATGGCTGGCCAGCAGGGGGATTTAGACTCCATTAGAAGTGTCCTGTTTTCCCTCATACCTTCATTTTTAAAGCTTCTCAATGCTAAGCTTTTTAAGGTCACAGAAAACCCCGGGGTTTTGGAAGCTATAAGACTGAGGAGAGCCAACAGAGGAGCACTGTGCATGGTTGGAAACCAGTTCTAGCCTGGTGTGACTAGCTTGGTGTCCCTGGGGGCCTCCCAGCTCATATCAAAAACAGAGGGTCCTCATGCAGCTGTTTCCTGTGCCAGATGTGAGGACTGGGGTCTGAAGGACAGGCTGGTTCCCAGGAAACAACTGTGCCATCCCAGTGGTCCAAGTTGGGCCTGGTTGCTGTTGTCTGTTCACCCTTTAACATTTCAGATCTGAACTCTGTGCTTCTCTCATTCTGGGATATTGTCATCTGGGGGACCAGGAAGGGTAAAGGTGACCTCCACTCCACTCTCCTCCTGCACTTCAGGAAGCCCTCACCTGCCATAATACCTGGTGGTTTAGTAACCAGAGGCTTCCTTCAGGACATGGAGATATAATTGCAGGGATTTCCATTTTGAGGGGCTGCCACGGCAGGTTGCACGCACAGATTGTGTCTGGGAATTGTGGCCCCTTATTCCAGAGGGATAGAGGTTTGTTTAGGAGCAGGCAGCAGTGGGGCTCAGTGAAAGTCTTGGCCCCAGCCTCCCTTCTCTACCTGTCCACGGGCCCTCTTCATGCTCAACGCCCTGGGGTGCTTACTCCTTGCTCCCTAGTGTACCAATGCACAACAGCCTTTCCTTCTGTAGCCTTGGGACAGTCCCTCCTCTCTAGGCCTCGGGAAGGTGGCAGCGTTGGGCTGGATGCCTTCAGCATCCTTTGGACTCTGACAGCTTTTGTAGTGAAGAGTGCTGGACAGGGAGGAGGTGGCAGATGGTGTTGGGGAAGGTTCATCTGAGACCTGGGGCTGAAGCCCAACTCTCAATCAGCGATGCCACCAGGGAGGGTTTTAAGGAATCACAGCTGATCTCTTCCCGGGTACCTGAAATGGTATCACACGGTGGGGCTTCTCAGGCCAGATCGTATAGAAAGGTGGTCCCGGAACTGAAAGGGAAATTTCCCAGGGGTGTAAATCCAGGTCTTAATGCAGGATGGGGCTGATAAAAGGAAAAGTGGCCATCCTGGAGGCTAATGAGTGTGTCACAAGGCAGCACCCCCACCTCGTGGCAGTAGGAGCCGAGACTCCAAGGAGCAGCATGTGTTGGGCAGAGCCTCTGTCCTAAGCTGCATGTGTCAGATACCGGGAGAACACTCCGCCCACACACACACACACCTGTGCCCGGTTCCTGCTTGCCTATCCATGGATTCCGTTTTTGCCTGCATGTGTCTCTGCCTCACTTTCTCTGTGCTTCAGTTATTATCTGTCTCTACCACCTTTCCTCCTGTTTTCTCTCCTATCTTGATGGAACTTGGAACTGAACTTACAGTCACTGCCTATAATTAGTTAGAAGAGATGCTGCTCCTTTCAAAACCAAGGATGTGGAGCATAATTTTAAAAAATAGTTATCCAAGAGGTGAAGAGGATGATCAGAAATATGACTGTGAATTTGAATGAGCATGAGTAGCACTTTTTGAGCGTGGCCCTGGCAGTCCAGTCTCTGCTCTGAGCACAGCACACAGAGCAAAGCGCCATCTGAGGTTCAGCATGTGGGCAGCAGCAGCTATGTGTGTGTGTGTGTGTGTGTGTGTGTGTGTGTGTGTGTGTTAGTACATGAGTGCACTCACACACTCACATGTGTAGATTTCATCCTTGAGGACCCTTCCCTAACAGAATGTTCTCTCTTCTCTCCTCGGTGGCTGCTGGGGACACGGATGTAAGTGTTCCGGACAGGCATGCTCTTGTGACGCGCTTGCTGCCTTCTCTTACTAACTGGTGTGTGCTGTGATGGATCTGCTAACCCGGAGGTGTTGTGCTGCACTGTGGGGGGGTGCAGCCCAGGGCTTCAAGCAGGAGGCTCTGGTCAGTCCTTTAAAGGGCTTAGATGCTGTGGCTGTTTTCTCCTCCTCGGCCCACCCCGGAGAGAAGAGGAGGGGCCCTGCCTGGCCTGCTGTGCTGTGTAGACTGGTTTCTAACACACAGGCCGGCTCCCCTGCCCTTTCCTGGAACTTTCCAGCCTCAGGCCCCTTGCTGCCAGCTCTGTGGCCTCAAGGCTTTGGCTCCGGGCATCCAGTGTTTGAGAAGACCTGGGGCCCTGGCCTTGCGTGGGAGACCCTGCTCCATGCAGGTTGTCTCTGGGGCCACCAGGGAACTAGGATTCAGAGAGTAATGCCTCTCAGGCCTGTGGTCAGGGTCACACATTCTATGCAGATGTGCAGGGACAGGAGCATTGCTGTGTTTCCCACCCTGCTGTGCCTCATCCTGGTCTGGCACTGCCTCAGTGGGACTGAGTTCTGTGGGGTTTTTTCTCATTCATTTCTTCCCCATTCCAATAAATACTTACGTGTGTGTGTAAATACACACAAAACAGTGAATCAAAGTAAGGAAAATGAAGCCTGGTGCAGGGTGGTGAAGGTTAGAAGACAGTTTAAAATGCGGGCCATTGAGGTGTGGATGGTCAAAGATGCTGGGCTTCCCCCAACCTCTGCAGAGACAGAGATGCCATCAGTTAAGAGGCGCAGGCAACAACAGCTGCCCTGAGGCTCAGAGGCCAGGCTTGTCCAAAGCACTTAATACTCTCGAGGACCCTGAGTGTATTATAGGTAGTATTGGCAAAACGTTTAGGGGACACAGTGACCAGGGGGTTCATCCCTTTAGGACACTGTCTCTGTGGCTTCCATCCAAAGCCTCTTCTGATGAGATGGAAGTTACCCACACTAGCCCCCCTCCCCCCACTGGCCCCCAGCCGCTGTTCAAGTGAGTGCTAGTTTTCTATTCCTGCTTGGACATCTACTGCCCTTTGACTCCGAGGGGTCCCAAGGGTTACTTCGTTTTGATCCTGTCATCCTGGCTCAGGGACGCAGTAGAAGATACCCATGAGATCTTTGGGTTTCAGTTGGAGGCAGTGATAATTGTTTTGGTGATGTGTTAATTCACAGTTCAGCCTCAGTGTATCCAGACTGAGTACAGACCCCCTGAGGACTGTGTAGGGACTCAGGGCACCTCTGACCCACAGTGGTCATTGCAGGGAAAGCCCTGGAGCAGAATTTATGGGAACAGCGTGTGAAGGTGCAGAGGCACAGACCAGCTGGTTCCCCAGGATGTGGTTTTCTGCCTGGGGGAGAGAGGTCAGGCCACTTCTGCAGTTTCTACCTCAGTCTGGGAACCGTGGGTTCTGGGCAGTCCTGTCTCTTCTTGCTCTTGTCAGGCAGGGGCTCTTGTATCTGCATCCAGAGGAGTTTCCTGGTTGGTGTCAGGCTGTGACTTGGGGTGAGAGCTGAGGTCTCTGAGATGACCCTATGGTTCCCACTCAGTGCACCAAGGGAGTAGCCACTGTGTGCCCAGCCCTGAGTCAGGCACTCTGAGGGAGTCAGGGAGCCAGGGCCAATGATGATGCTTTCTGTTAGGCTGAGGCAGGAGACTGACAGGAGAACCGAGGCAGGTAACACAGGCCTTCCGCTACAGACTCCAAGGACGGTGGGGTCTCAGGGTGGGAGATCAGGGAGCGCGACAGTCTTGAGACATCTCCCTTGGGCTGCAGAGTTTGTGCTCAACAAAGTCCTAAAGTCTGCCAATTTTGCAAGAGAAGGGACTAGAGAGGAATCTAAACTTGGAGTAGGCAGGCCACGGGGTGCATGGAGTGCAAACAGTCCAAGGATTAATGGTATTAGGCCCTTACTAAGTTGCTGTCTGAGCTGAGCCCACCCCTGCCTGCTGCTCTGATTCAAAGGCTTGATTAAGGCAGCTGCGCTCTCATGCTTCCCCCTGCTGGCTGCCGGGGGGTAAGGCAGCATAAGCCGGTAAAGCCACTCAAAAGCAGGGTTTAATTGTCAGCTTGCTGCACACCCCTGGCTGTCAGGTCATGACAGAGCATGTTTGGTGACTGATCGTGTTTTCAGGGAATCCAGGAAACGCTGGAGTTTTTAATCTGCAGAGCTCAGGGTAGAGAGACCAGATGATCTGAGCTCTACTTTCTGTGATTCTACATAAAAACAATATGGGAAGCATTGAAAAATGTTTCTGTGGATGTCAGATAAGCTGGGCATAGCAGAGGATATTTTATATCTCTACTAAGATAGGGCTGCCTGGCCAGATAATATGCACTAGACTGTGTATTCAGCGAGAGGAATTAATTCTGGGAGCTTTTCCTGAGGTTTTATTCAAAGCAGACTGAAATGAATCTTGCTTTTATGTTCTTGGAAGGAGGGGCCACATTCGATTTCTGCTTCCACAGGCTCCCCTGCTTTTCTAGGACTGGCCTTTGAAAGGAGAAAATCTGCACAGCTCTGCTCAGTGTTATCCCTTAAGGCTTCCTTAAGCCCTCTTGTCTCTTAAAAGAGTGTTGGAGCTGACCTGGGGGTGGTGAAACCTCGCAGCGGGCATTGACAGGCACTGTCAGGGACCAGCTTTGGTGCCTCCCTTGCTGAGGATCAGCTCCAGCAAGGACCAGAGCCAGTGCTGTGCAGCTGCCTGGGATGTTGAAATCGGCCTTTGGTGGGATGGTGGGGTTTGGATCTCTCAGGTCTGATTCTTGCACCAACTCAGGAGGCAGAAGGCCAGGGCCAGTTCATATTTGTACACCACACACAGATTTGTGTGGGCTACTTTACTTTAGAAAGAAATGTGACTGGAAAGAAAAAGCGATGGGAGGTGAACACACAAATGTCACGCACTGTCAACATTGCTCTGTATGTATAATACAGAAAATCATGCACTTCGCCCCCTGAGATCTCCCTGCCCCCGGAGCATCCTGGTGTGGGGTCACAAGTCTAAGCTGCAGGGTTTGACCCTGATCAGTCAGGGCAGCTGCTTTTCCCAGGGAAGCGGTGCCCTACCCGCCTTGGTAGCTGTTTGGTGGGTTCCGAGCCTAAGGTACTGTGCATGGTGCCTGGTGAGTCTTACAGCTGCACTGGCACAACCCTGACCCCCTCCCTGCAGGAATCCCCAGACATGGGGGCTCGGCTGTCCTAACAGGCCTGGCTTCTTGTGCCGTGTGCCTAACCCTGCCTTTCCTGCCCTTCCTTGCTCCTTTCAACACTGAACCCCCCTTGCTGTACTTTGTTTCCTCTGTGTAGATTGTAAATGGACATTAAGTGGTTGAGGGAGATGTGAATGAGGGTGGTGTGAAGGCCTGGGAGCCCCACCAGGTCCAAAACCCATTGGCGTTTTCTGACGAGGAGGAGGAGGAAGACCTGCTGGATTTCATGTACAAGTATAAGGCACCGAGAAGAACGGAGTTTCCCCTGGAGGTACACAGTGTCTGGGGCTGTGGGCTGCGAAGCATGTATTTGCCTAGGGGCTTTGCCCTGGCGATCTGGGAGTCTCAGGTGGCACCTTTCAGGAGTACCCAACATCTCCTAAGTGCTGGGGTAAAAACTCCCTCCATCAAACAGGCAGGATAAACCAGGTAGCATCCAGCTACCTGCTGAGATGGAGGTCAGGCAGAGAGACTACAGATTTCATTTAGAAATAGAGTGGTATGGCATCTAGATTTTGATTTACTTCTCCAAGCGTGACACGTTTTTATAAATGAGGTTTGTTCACCACTGTTTCTCCAAAGGCATAGCACTGTGCCTGGTACAAAGCAGCTATTCACAAAATGTTATTGGAGGGCAAGGCCCTTTTAAATTGTCAAAAACAATAGACTTGACCTAGACACCACAGCCAGTTGTGGCTGTGGATGTGGTTTTGGCAGCAGGATGGCTAAGCCCCCTGATGCAAGTGGCGTCTCAGCTGACCCCAGGGACTTTTTCTCTGCTCCATTGGTCTTTTCTCCTGGTCCCCATTTGCAATCCTGCAGCCTGAAGGTCCATCTGAGCAAGCTAGGACTGACGTGTCCATAAAATTCAGGCCCCCATGAGGTCAGATGATGAGAGGGCAGCATTTTGTTCATAGCAGACTCTCAGTTCCAGTCAGCTGCCTGCGCAGCAGTCTTGTGTGAATCAGTTGTGGAGTTATTGGGAGCCCACCCGGGGTCTGGCCTCCTCACGGGGTGAGATCCCTGCATAAAACACCTAGGGCTTTGGGATTATGGTTTTGGCTTTGTTTTAAAGTTGCAGACTGCTTCACTGTTTACTGTAACTGCCACGAGGCAGATTACTAAAAAGCTGCTTCTAGTTTATGCTCAGACAGGGCTCCTAAACATTTCCCAGCAGTGAGGCTCCACCTGTGGGCTTGTTATCAGGGCCTGAGCTTGTTCTCTCATGCGTTCGCTTCTTTCCTTCTTTTTAAAAACAACTTTATTTTCATCTTTTGTACTTCTGGGGACTGAGCCTCCACACTGAGCTCCATTCCCAGCCCACTTTTTATTTTGAGACAGGGTCCCATTAATAAGTTGGGGACTTCCTACCTGAGCTTCCCAGAGTGCTGGGATTACAGGTGTGTATCACTGTACCTGCTGGCATTTCCCAGCTGTCACTGGGAGGCGTTAGTGGGTGGGACATGGGCCTGCTCTCTGGAAGTTCAGTGGAGTCAACCAAGAATCTTATGGGGAGACTGAGCAGAGGATCCCCCACCACACACACACACACACACCTGTGGGTGCAAAAGCTTCTGCTACATGGCACACATGCATGCTGCCAAAGGACAGAGTTGGTGAGGAGGCCTCACCTCAGTGTGGGAGTCCTGAGCAGAAGCCATTGTGAGCTAGGTGCTCAGGGGGACTGATGTTCAAGGCAAGAGGGAGCAAAGTGCTCCCAGTCAGAAGGAACAGCAGTGTGAAAGGACGGTGTGGAGAAGTTTTCCTTGCAGACTAACAGGGATGCCATGGAGGACAGGTCGAGGCTACCTGTGTGAACACCTTACAGTGCTATGCAAGGTTCCCCTATGACTATCGTAGCAATCCTCCTGTGATTTGGGTACCCCACAGAAGGAGGGATACCTTGCAAGTCATTTGTGGGAAAGGTGAGGGAACCCTTGATACTTACAAATGGTCTTGCCTTTGTGGTGTGGTTTGCTGTGCCCCCAGGGGTTCCTACCTCCTTCCTATATGGGGACTGGAAGTTTAAAGCACATACCATGAAACAGGAGGCCAGTTCCCAAAGAGAAGAACAGAGACCAGGGAAGAGGTGGCAGGCTCTTCTCTCTGCTGAGTCACTCCAGTTACTGACTCAGTAAGTGGAACAAGAAAGATGTGTCACTCTGCCACCCTTCCCTTAGGACACGAGGCAAGCAGAGGTTGTGTCGGCTTCTCAGTGGGCTCAGCTTCACAGTGTGCGTGGGGGATGCTGTGGAGACTCAGAGGAGCTCCAGTCCCTTGCTAAGTGCATCTGGCCAAAGGAGCTGAATGTCATCACACTGGATGACCCCTTCCCCCAGGTGCTGTCCTCAGCAGGCCACATTCATGGATGCCTTTTTCCTTTTTTTTTTTTCCTACCAGGCACCGCCTAGACTCCTTCGATCTCGCTTCAAGAAGAAAAGTACCTCATCCTCAGCCGCTGAAACCACGTGAGTGAGAATGAGCCAACAGCACCGGATCCACAGAATGTTCCTCCTCTGCCTTAAAGAGCTAGTCACTAATAACAAAATCCGCAGGCTGGGTGTGCTTTGAGTGTGTGCAGCCTCACAGACATGCCTTTTCTCGCTCCCCTCTTCCACCATTAAGAATTTGTTTGCCCCCTTCTCTTTAGTTTGCTGGGGAGAGGCTAAAGGGAAAGGTGGGGGTGGGGTGACCTTTGAGTCTTCTGAGGTTAGTGATGTTCCATAATTGGATCGTTATTACAGACAGCATTGTGTTTAGAAACGGAAGAGAAATCACTCCTTTGCTGCTGACATGTACATTTGTAATCTATATGTTGCATACTTAGTTTTTAGTCCTGTAAATGCAAACATTTTTTTAAAAAACATTTTTTGTTTTTGGTACTAATCCTTTGGACTATGGTGTACATATTTATGGCTTTTGGCTTAATATAATGAACTTGCAAGGGCTGCCAGAGGTTCTAAGTGAGAAAACTGCGAAAAAGAATGTGTGTATAAAAATTTTTTTGACTCTAGACAATGTCTCCAATGTGCTTATAAAGCTTCCAAATCCAGCTCCAGTAAAGCATCTGTTTTCCCGCAGGAAGATGGTGTCTGCATTTTTCTAATGGTTGAGTAGTAGACAGGCTGGAGGAGTCAGGAGTAGAGATATTTAGCATCAGGGGTGAGTGCTAGTGAGAGATCAGGAAGACATGCAAGCTCATCTCCCCCTTGGGGTCAGGGTTAGGAGCCGAGCCTTGCCAAGGGCGTTAACTCTGCTTTGGGCAGGTGGCTCACTATTGGCAAAACTTGGGAATGGGGACTCAGGGCTGTTAGCAGAATCTTGAGTATTTCAAGTCTTGCCACATGACTCTCCCTCAGCGTGATCCGTGCTGCGGCTAATTTCCTCAGGTAGAGAAGCCTGAAGTCTGAGCACCTTGTTTTATAGAACACTAAGCAAAAAGAAACAAAACACGCCTACAAAAAGCTAGAACTATGCTTTGTTCAGGTATGTTCTGAAAGACATGAGACACATTTAGAACAACCCAAAGGGTGGGTTCTGACAGGTATTAGAGGATGAGACTTTTAGAGATAACCAGCTGCTCAGCCCAAACCTTGTTCTCTCTCCATATGTGAATGGGATAGACGCATGCTCACGGGCGCTTGGGTCGTTGAATGTTTTCTATCAGCCAGGATTACTTAGCAGGGAAAGAAAGGGCTGAGGGGACCCCCTGCTATTAAGGGTTTTATTTAAGAACAGAATCTGGTTTAGATGGATCTGTAGTTTGAGGTAGCTCCCCTCCCTCTGAGAGCTGAGCCAAAAGGTAGGACTAGTGTATTGTGCTTAGAGTTGGTGTTTCCTTCCAGTGTACTGCATGCAGTGGTCACTACCCAGTACTCATATTGGATTGTGTTTGTTCGTAGATATGCCCCACCAACTGTAGAGAAGTAGTGTTATATACCACTTAGAACTCACCGTCCACTAAAAGCAGGCAGGCCCAATTAAAATTGTCCCATTACAGAGCTGAGTGAACATGCATTGGTGGCCTTTGCTCATGACACATTAGCTAGATCTCCGCCTTCTTACAAAGGGTTTTTATTGAAGTTGATAGTTGCCAGATAAAGATAGTGGAATCCCTTCTTCCCACACTTCCTGTTAAAATGATTTTGTAATTTACAAAAGGATTTAGGAAAAGAGATCTAAAAGCAAATTGAGAGGGCAAATATAGACTATCGGTTATCTATGCCCCATGCCAATACCTGAACCCGTTAGAGAGGACAGAAATCCTATTACTCTTCAAGCTCACTGAATAGTTCCAGAAAAAGAAAAACATGCTTCTTAAAATGTATTTACTATTAGTTGAGCATACCCAGAAACAAGTGCAAAAAAAGCTTAAGAGAAGCAGCTTTATAGTAAACTTTTGTTTTGCCAAAATAATGAATGCCTTTAATAGCAGAGTTCAAAATCCTGTATTTTTACTTCACAATGGAAAGTTGTAACAAGTCCATGCGAATCAAATTTGCACTCAACTATGCCAAAAGGAAAACACTCTATTCTCAGACATGCTGTATTAAGATTTAAAAACATAAGGTATATTCAAACTGCTGTCTTAATGTAAATGTAACTTTTTCATTCAAGTGTTGTCTAGGGGGTTGGTTTCTCTCCTGAAGACACTCACTGTACAACTGAAAGCAGCTGTCACATTTCTGGCAAAATGTGTTTACTTATCCAACCAGCTGTATATTTGTATATGGATAGACATAAAATGTGAATGCCTATCAGTGTACACATAGTGGTGTGGTGTTCTGTCTAGAGGATATAACTGAATTATTTTACTTTGCTCACTTACAGATACAGGCTGTTTACAAAATGCTAGCTCGAAAGTCTGTAATTTCCATGTTTAGTCCCTTGCCACGGAGCACCTGTTCATTTCTGACGAGGTGAGGCGTGGTCCTGGGCTGATCACCTGGAGCGCTTAGTCATGATCCCTCCTGGCTCTGTGTGAATAGCTTGCTTACTTGGCTGACCTGGGAAATGTGTGTCCTTTGTGGTAACCGTCCATGTGTTTGTGCTAAGAGTGCTTGTCAACCACGGCCGTCATTGTTCACCTCGCACAGTATTTGAAATGGCAAAGGATGGGTCTCCTCCTCTAACAGTGTACACTCTAGGAGCTGCTGTTCTTCTTGATCATGACTGTGCACATTTCCTCTAGTTTATTTCTGAAGTCTATAGAATGATCTGTTATCAAATAGTATACTGGACTGTGCATCAAAGGGATGTAAAACTACAGTATTCCAAAGGCTGAAGTTCTGCTGTTTTGTTATAATGCCTGATATACATCTTGAATAAAGTCTTAACATTTTTCTTTTAAAGAATCTTTGTTATGTTGGACTCATGAGAGAAAAGCAAATACTTTTTTCAGAAATGTAGGAGCTGGATATGGTGGTATACTCCTATAAACCCAGAACTCTGGGAGACTGAGGCCAGAAGATTGTAAGTATGAGCCCAGCAACAGTCTGTCTCAAAATATAATAATATAAATAAATAAGGAAGCTGGTACTGTGGCACACTGTTATAATCCCACCATTTAAGGAAGTTGAGGCAGGAGGTTTGCAGGTTCAAGCCCTGCCTGGGTAAATAAGTGAACACTGTCTCAAAACAAAACAAAACAACCACCACCACAACCAAAAAAGAGAAAAAGGACCAGCAATAGTAAGGATTAGAAATTAAATTCCCAGTGGCTAACCTGTCTGGAAATTCAACCCCATGCTTATTGCAAAGAATAATTGGGTGGCAAGGCCATCATAGGTGGCAGGAGTACCCTTCCCTTAACCCTACTGTAGCCCTTGCCTTTAAATACAAGCAGGGGACAGGAGTGGTGGTGCATGCCTGTGATCACTGTGAGTTCGATGCCAGCTTGGACTACATAGTGAGATCTTGTCTCAAAAAGACCAATAAGTAAATAAATAAATAAATAAAGCAAGCAGGTACACTTGGGCTCCATGGGGGGAGAAGGGAACAAAGACTTTGAAACATCAAAATTGGACACATTTCCTTTGCTTTCCTGCTCCTATATTCTAAATTTTTGACACAAGGACTATAAAATAAAGCAGCAGCAGAAAAAAAGCAGATTCAGAGGCTAGAAAGCAGGAAGAAATGGGGGAAAAGGCTTCAAATCCATTTTCTTAATTTACTGAGCCAGGCGCAGTGTCAACAGAGCTGAGATTAACAAGGTTGAGTCAGCAAATACCCGGACAGCTAAATTATACAATGTAAAAGCTGGATTGGTACAGTGTTATGAATTATTTAGAATCCACAGTGCTGGAGAGGGGAGGAGAAGAGAATGGAGATGTGTTGCGTGCATGTGCCAACGCCCCACCATGACTGTGATCACTGTGTGCTGCACGTGTGTACTAATAAAAATGACAAAATCATAGTGCGAAGTTACAGCCACTTGTAGGCGTAGGTATACTATTTTCATATGTTGTTAGAATACTGAAGGAAACACACAGGCTTGCAAGAGTTCTACTGGGATTCTGAGATGTAGTAGCTGTACTTTAAATTAGGTATAAATGGTATCTCCTTTTTAAAGTTAGTAAAAGGATTAGTATTTTGTAGCTATGTGTGTAGTTTTATAGATATGCTGGGGCAGAGTAAGTATTCAATAAATTATATACTTGGATAAACTATCCATCTACTTTTCAAATTATACATATACTTGAACATCATTTAGGTATTCTTTCACTTAATAAAAGCTATTTTATGGTCAAGCCCTCCTACCCACAAACAGGAATGAGTTATGCATGGAAGTCCTTTTCCCCTCTTGCCCATCAGCCTGTCTCTAGATGCCAAGGCCCTGGTTGCCAGCCCTCATCTCTGCCCTTTCTGGCCCTGGACTAGAAATCAGGGTGCTCTGAGGCCTCTGTAACAGGTCCTGTGGGAAAGTGTCCTCTTGTTCAGCTTCTACAGATGCAAGTTCATCCCATCACTACAGATGAGATGGAGGGCGGGAACCAGGCAAATGAGGAGAAACGTAGGAGCCTTACAAGTGGTGGCCTCTGCCATCCCAGAAGTGTGAAAAAAAGGAAAGCCCATCAAAAACAGAATGCCATTCCACATGCCAGGCTCCTACCTCATCTCAAATCAAATGCCATTCTGTATTAATGGGTGCCAGTAACAGACATGTACTCAGCTTTCTGGTTTTAGAACATTCTATTGTTTCTTCTTTTCCATTTAATGAACACACACTGCTTTCAAGGAATACCCTAATATTCATAAGCCACGGAATTTCACCTTGGTTATCTTATTCTATTAACAACAGAGGAATTTCATTTTACCCCCACCAACTATAAAATTAAATGACTTAAAGTAGAAATCGATATTCTGTTTAACAATGGTTTTCAACCAGGCAAAGTGCACCCGATTTCCCAGATGATTCTGATGGCACAACTGAGAACCACTGCCCTCGACTCTAAGCATTACTGCTCCTCTCCTCTTCAAATAAAAAGTGCTCAACTCTTGCATCATTTCTAAAATAACTGAAATGACTTTTCCCCTTTAGTTTCTATAATACATTTTTAGAAAATCTGATAAAGTCCTTACAAATGAAAATATGAAATCTCAAATGGATACATTAATATTTAAGAACTACAGTGTCTTTCAAAACTTGAGTATCTTTGTGTAGCCTCTTCTGTTTCAATGAAGAACATACTGTAAAGTTACTTCATTTACTCTTCTATTAAAAAAAAAATCCTGGGCCTGGGATTTAGCTCAATGGCATAAGCACCCACCTTGCAAGTGCGTGGTTGTGAGTTTGATCCATGGTACCAAAAAATAAAATAAAATAAAAAAAAAATCCTGTTCCAATCAACTAAATGAGAATTGCCATGAACACAGTGAATCTAGTTATACTGGATGCTAAGAGTATTCCTAGTCTGTGGTCACCTCTAAGCAAAACTGCTCACAGAACTATTTTTTGCTGCACATAAACCTGTTGAAGTGGGTCAGGGTGGGCTCCTGACCTAAGAACAGCCAATGTCCACGCTGGATGGTGGCACCTGGGGTAAAAATGGAAGCTGGTCCAGTTACAGACTCTTGCCACTTCAAAATAGGACACAGGACCTGAGGGTCATGATGGAGAAAAGAATCTCAATGGTGTAAACCAAACCTGTTATGATGGAACAGAAACTATGTAAACAAAAGCTGTGAAGTAGAGAGGCTGGTGAGTAGCCAATAGTCAATAATCTAAGAGAAGCTTGGTAGAACCTGAGCCTTAAAGATCCACGACCTCTTGCTGAGAAGCAACATCTGGTCTGGTCTGCTCTGAGGTCTGGGGCAAGGTGTGGCCAGGAGGCCAAGCTGGAGAGCTGGTTCCTGAGTTCCCAGGCACAATACTACAGTGTCACACTGTCTGAGCTAACTTTTCATGTTTCTCCTCACTTGAGATTTCTTGCACTAAATAAGTCTAACTGGGACAACTGTTTGTTAAAAATAACGTACAACTTCAAACCTCTAATTTCTTGACCAAATCTGGGATCCCAGAAAGTTAAAACTTTCGTAAGTCGAACATTAATACTCTATGTCTACATATCAGCTAGTAAAATTTATTGTTTTATACTTAGTCATTTTTGCAAAGACATCTTATACACAAAGATACAGATTCAATAACAATTAAAAACTTCTGATCTATACTTTCAGGTTTGTTCGATCGTGGTACTTCTGATAAGGATCATCAACATACCAGTTGCGCCTCTTCCAGAAGGATGTCGTCATTTTATCTAAGAGTTTACTCTGGGTTTTATTGCAGAACACAAATTCCCTCAAGCGTTTCTTTCTTGCAGCTGTCTTTTTCCATAATTTTTTCTTATAACCAGACTGTGAAATAATATTACAAACACATTTAAAACATGGTATTATGTGGGAAACAATAGATTACTATCATAACTCGTGGTTTACAGGCTCAATGGGAACAGGAACAAGACTTTGCAAACATCTCAATGAGTGGTTAGAAAAAGCATGCGTAGTTTGAAAAAGAAGTATTAATAGATAATTTAATATCTTGGAAAATAAAGCTAAATAAATCTGTGTGGTTAGTGAAGTAAAAGATGATATAATTAATCAGTAGCTAATTATGTATGTGTCATCTCTTCAGCAATTTTCCACAGCACTAGTCTCATTTTCTTTCTTTCTTTTTTTTTTTTTAGTCTCATTTTCTAGATTACCCAGCTATTCACTGTTATCTCTCCCAATGTGGAGGGCGGTCAAGGACGCACCAGCGAGGGTGGTAACATTCATTTCTTGTTAAGGGACTGAGTGTTACAAGGGCTGAGAGGCACAGTTCTCAAATGTATGGCTTCACTTATTCTTTTCACGCACTAGGGACTGGTATTTGTAGGAGATACTTGTCTAAGGAATAATGATTATATAAAACTATTATTAGGAATGGTAAAGGAAAGTTAACCCATTTAATTAGTCCTGAACTTCCATATACACTACCTATGATTATTAATTTTTATTTTGAAAGACAATTAAATATAAAAAGTATCATCAACCAGGCATGGTGGTACATGGCTATGATCCTAGTACTCTGGAGGCTGCAGTTGAAAGATCGCCATGAGTTCGAAGCCAGCCTGGACTATAAAATGAACTGAAGCCCAGATCAAGAGCAAGAACCTGTCTCAAAAAAAAAAAAAAAAAAAAAAAACAATAATCATAGCCTATTAAAACTAGAAGAGCCCTTAGGGGGCACCTCAGTAAATGCCTGGCTAAAACCACACAGTAAGTTATAGGGGAGGTGAGAATAGAAACCAGGTTACTGGTTAAAGCCCTTGGTTCCTCTCCAGCCAAGGCTCATTATGTTACAACAGCTGGATAAAATCACAGCTCTCCACTTCTAGCCTGCCAGCCAAACTAGGTCCCTGCAGATCTCTGACTCATAGATCTAATTTGCTGCCCAGGATCCTTTAAAGATTACTCTGTGGAATGGAAACACTGTGAAAACGCTGGAATGGTTTTAGATAATTCCTAGTTTCAAAAATGGAAGAAGGGAATAAATAAAAAAGTAAAAACATTTGGGTTAAACTATGCCTCAAAAAATATAGTACCTCTGGATTTTTCTACATTAGTATAAATTAACCGTTTTTTGCTTTTGTCTTAAGATCAGGTTGTGACGAAGGAAGCCATTTGGCATGTAGTATACTTTTGGGGGCACTAAACCAATGCAAGATGTAATGATTGGGGGAATGATCAAGTCCTTTAGGGGAACATGAGAGTTCCATGGGGCCCCAGGAAAGGGACATGGAAAGGATGGTAAAGAAAACTCCCCTTTTTATATAGGATCACACAAGAACCTGGAAATAAATGGTATGATACAAAGGGAGGATGTATTTCTTTTCTTTTGTACTGGGGATTAAACTCATGACCTTGCATTTGCCAAGCAGGCACTTACACCACTGAGCTAAACCCCCAGCCCCGAGGATGTATTTGTAATGGTCCAAAATACACAAATTCAAAAATACAACAATTATGACTTCAGTTCAACTGCTGTTGACTAGGGGAGGAAACAACAGGGTGCCATGTCAGTGGAGAACTGAAGGTCATTTACATGAGAGGTGATAATTCTTTCAATCTTGTAAAAAGTAAGTGAACCTGACTTAGAGTGAAGACATCTGCCACTGTAATATTTTGTTATGAACGCTTACAGGTTTTTTTTTTTCCCCTAGCAATACTGGGGACTGAACTCGGGGATCCCCTATCATCAAGCTATATCCCAGTCCTTTTTATTTTTTCAGACAGGGTCTCACTAAGTTGCCCAGTCTGGCCAATCATCCTGCCTCAGCCTCTGAGTGTAGGACTTACAGGCATGTGCCACCACATCCAACTTATATGGAGTCACTTACACAAAGAGATGCCTATCAAGCTGATAATTATGCACAGCTCTAAGAACTACTATACTGGTAAGATGAGGAGAAGACATACCATGAATTGGCTCACTGAATTGTACTGTATTTTCCTTATTTTTATATTTTAATAAACTAATGAGTTCTGGGCATTAAACCTAGGGCCTTGCACATGCTCAGGAAGCATTCTACTAAGCTATAGCCTGACCCTTTTTATTTTTGACGTGGGATGTCACTCAGTTGTTCAAGCTGGCCTTGAATGTGCAATCCTCCTGCCTCAGCCTCCTGAATAGATGGGATTTCAAGTTAATGCCATACTGCCCAGCTTCTGCTGCATTTTAATCTCCACTCATGGTGATTTTTTGATTAGGTAACAGTATGAAAACTCACCTTTCTCCTGAGCCAAAGGCCAGAGTGAAGTCGAAGAAACCGATAGATAACAGCTTTCACAGTCTTTCTCTTGCCTTTTCGTGCGCTGTAGTATGTTACAGTTCTGACTGGCACTGTCAGGACGCTGGGAAGCAAGGGAGCCACTCTGAAATGTATCGTAAGAATTAACCAGCAGTCCGACTGATTAAAGGAGAAGACCTATTTCTACACAGTACTTAGAATTGAATAAGGCTGCCCCACTGGAACACAGGTAACTTTTATAACACTGCTTCAAACGTCCTAAGATGCTATGCACACATGAGAGCAGCAACGGCGACCAACTGCAGGCCCTCTCAGAACCACCTGGTGCTCGTCCAGGGGCAGTTTCCAGGGTGTACAAAGAGCTGGTTCAACGTCCGCACTAACACATAAATAACTACACAAAACCCAACCCCCATCCCTATGGATTTATCTTATTGTTTTAATCATCTGATTTCTTATCTTTGTGTCTTTTCTACAACTACAGTGCTGGGCACCTGGGGTGCTTAACTGAGCATCTGGTGACTGACCAGAGACCACACACAGCCTCGCCTTGTAAGCTGAGCATGCTGTCCTTTCTCTACTTTGCCCGACAGCTTCCACTGAGGAAACCACATACACGACATCAGAAGTGTCCTCTGGGGCTGGGGGTGTAGCTCACTGGCACGGCACTTGCCTAGCAGGCACAACACCCTAGGTTCCATCCCAGTACTGCAAAATAAGACAAACAAACCAAAAAAAGAGCAAAGCTCTGTTTGGCAGTTCCTGCTAGTGGCATCCAGATACATGGATGTCGGTCTTACTTTCCCGTTCCGACAGCACCACTGCAGACAGACTAAGCTGTGTAACAACCTGCCAGGTGGGCAAAGAATATTACCTAAGATATCTTGTCTTGTAGGCATGAATATTTTATTTACTTAATTATTTATGGTTTCCTTAGCTAGATTGTTTCTCAGTATACAGGCTGGCCTGGAACTTGTTATATAGCTCAGCATTTTCTTAAATTTAGGATCCTCTTGCTTCACCCTCCCAGGTACTAGGATTAGAGGTGTGAACCACCACACTTGGCATGAATACTTTTATCTATGCTACGCTATTCCAATGCTGGGGAAGTTCTCTACCACTGAGTTACACCCTCATCCCAGGTATGAGTATTTTAGAATTTTATCTAAGCATCATATTTATTGAAAGGAACTCTACCTATTAAGGATTGTTGTGGTATATCCACATGTCAGATTTCTGACAGATGTGACAAACCGGGGAGCAGAAGAAACAACTGGTGTGTGAGTAAGACTAAAATGTCCAGTGGACAGCGTGGAATTAAGACAGACATTCTTGGCATAGTTTCGAAAGGCTGAAGATGCCAAAACATTCACAGATCGTAAGATTCCTGTAAAGATACAGAGAAACACATATATTTAATGATATTCCAAAATATGCATTGGCATTTAAAATTAATGTATGAAAGCAAACAAGTATTAAATATAATTAAAATGTCCTGAGCATGAGATTTCCCTATGGAGCTTTCTGCCATAGATAAACTTAATTGAGGTAAAGCTTACAAACCATAAAATTAATCATGTTATGAGGTTCAATTCAATGACATTTAAGATATTTAGAGATTATATAACTACCATCAAAATGCAGTCTGATGTGTCATGGCTCTATATCCAGGGCTGGGGGACAAGGTTTACACGTGTAAATTAATTCCCATGTCAGATCTTATACTCAGGGCAGTGGCAGGTCAGAGACCTAAAAGCACAAACCTTTCCTAGAAAGACAATCAAGGAGCAAGAGGAGGATCCACAAAGACAGCAGAAGAGGTATTCGAGTTCTCTTCTCGAATATGGACAGGCCCTTCGAGGAGAAAGAAGAGGAGGAAGAAGAGGAGGAGGAAGAGGAGGAGGAGGAAGACACTGGAGAGCATGAGCCACATTAACAAAGGTCTAGGACAGTGTTGGAGACTCTATAGCACACGTGCTGCAGTGGGCTGTTTGTTACCATTGAAAGCTCTAACCAGTTCACCATTACAGGTCCAGGGGCTGCCACTTGTGCATACATGGGGCAAGAGACAGAGGCTGTGCACTGCCTGCCTAACTGTAGCAGAGATGCCTAGGAAGGAGCAGGGAGACATGAGGCAGGGCAGGTGAAAGGCAGGGATGCGTAGACTGCATGTGGTCCTCTTTATCCGTCCTTCCTGCTGTGCACTGCTCAAGTCAGTCAGAACATGCAAGTAGACCCAGAGTTCCCTGAGTGATCTCGATTTTAGTGTAGGACTCAAGAATGCATGTTAGAAAAAAAAGTTGCAGCCTGAGTGTGGTGGTGCACATCTGTAATCCCAGCACTCAGGAGGCTGAGGCAGGAGGATCACCAAGCATTCAAGGCCAACCTGGGCTACAAAGTGAGTTCAAGGCCAGCCTGAATGGCACAGTGAAACCCTGTCTCAAAAAAAAAAAAAAAAGAAAAATCTATGAATGAAATGTCCTAAATCTGTAATGTGACGATGGTTGCCTATCTTGAACTGTACATACAAAATGAAGAACATTACGGCACATAAATTCTACCTCAATAAAACTGTATTTTATAAAAATAGCTGCACCCAAGTATGATGCATAGGCCAGAGGACTGTCCGCTGCATTGATTTCGCCTACCAACTGGGCAGTGTGGTGCTGATGTGATGGGCCAAGGGTCACACTGTTTAGGTTCACATTCTACCTCTACTACCCAGCAGTCTGTCTACAGGCAAGTTACTTAACTTCCCCATGCCCCAGTTTCCTCAAATTCAAGTTCAGTCAATTATGGAGAGTAAATGAGAGTTAATGAGATGAAACATTACAGTGCTTGAAGAGTCCTGGGCACAGGGAAAATATTTAATGAACTCTAACAGAGTTGAGGAATGCCTAGCAAACATGGCACAGGCAAGCACCACATAATACGGAGTATTTTTTAGACCAGGATCATTAGGTGACTTCTTCACCATGAGGACAGCTTAGAGTGTACCTGCACAAACTGAGGCAGCACAATCTACTACATGTGCAAGGCTATTTGTTAACAATCACAGCCGTGTGTGGTCCTTCCTCCACTGAAATGTCATCACTCAGCACATGACTGCGTGCGTTAGCAGGTGGCAGTGAAGACTGCAACTTTGCTTTGCTATTATCCATCAAAGACAATAATCTTCAAACTGAAAAGGTAGCAAAAACATTAGTGGGTTAGCTGAAATCCAACATTCAGAAAAATTGATGACAGCCCTTAATGTTGGCCCCTTGGAAATCGAATTCTCTATCCAATCCTGGAATTCAAGTAACTGGATGTAAATAACATATTTCAAAGAACTAAAAAGATTTGTAGATGTGATACAAGGCAGGAGATAATCTTTGAAAAAAATCAGTGAACTAAAGAGGAGGACTGTAGAAGAAAATATTTCAGTTTAGTATAGAACACACAAATCAGTAAACCACAGGTTCATGTATAGAAAGTAAGGTTAGAACACATAGTAATAAATCCACAGGGAAAAAGTCAAGTAAGTTTCTTTAAAAGAACCAATTTAGTTTCTTTTTCTTCCCTCCCTCCAAGTAGGAGCCAGTTGTTCTTTATTGTGTGCAGTGTGTGTTTGTTTGTTTGAGACATGGTCTCCTCATTCAGTTCAGGCTGGTCCTAAATACCCTCTATAGCCCAGGATGGCAATCCTTCTGCCTCAGCCTCTTCAGTGAGGGGATCACAGGCATGGACCACCTTGCCCAGCCCAGTTGTTCTTTTAAAAGAGCCAATTTGGGCTAATGTGCTATCTCAATATAAGTGGCTCTCTTGCACAGCATACTTCTTCTATTTTTTTTTCTTTCTTTTTTTTTTTTTTTGTCTTTTTCGTTTTTATCGGTACCAGGGATCGAACTCACAACTGCCTGCTTGCAAGGCAGGCGCTTATGCCGCTGAGCTAAATCCCCAGCCACAGCATACTTCTTTTCCTACTTTTATTTGTCCCAAATTCACTCTGGAGAGCCTATTTTTTTCCTGTCTTTCATAAACATAAAAGTCTTATTAAAAAATAAAAGAACAGTATGCTGGGATTACTGTGGTCCTTGTACTGTTCTGTATTGTACTGTACTGGAATCCCAGCATTTACAAGGCTGAGGCAGGGTTGCAAATTTGAGCACAGCCTGAGCTACATAGTGTGACCTTGTCTCAAAAAACAAAAGAAATTTCTTTCTCTGAATTAACTTTCTTCCCCGCTTTTTATAGAAATGGCATCTATGAGACTGACCTCAAAATCCTGTGTTCAAGCCATCCTCCTGCTTCAGCCTCCTGAATAGCTGGGACTACAGATTTGCACCATCATGCACGGTTCTGTTTCTTTTTTTTTTTAACAAGCACTATAGCCTATCCTAGCCATGTTACAGTCTGAGTTTTTAAAAAAGTCTCTTTATATTCTAAAGAAATAAAGAATTGCAGGCAGTATAATAGTACAGTGGGTAAATTCTACATTGGCCAAAAACTATCCCCAAATTAACTGTGACTCACCTGGTTAAACTCTTCCATTTTGTTCCCATTTTTATGAAGGTTCTGAAGCTGTTTGCAGCATGTTTATTAATCTGTACACACACAAAAAAATAAACTATGCCTCAAAACAAATTACAAGTGGAAAAAAATAAATAAATAAACTATGCCAGGTGTGGTGGTATACAGGCATAATCCCAGCACCCGAGAGGCTGAACCAGGAGGATCACAGTGAATTTGAGGCCAGCCTAGGCTACATGGTTAGTTTAAGGCCAGCCTGAATTGCACAGAGACTCTATCACAAAAAAGGGGCTGGGGATTTAGCTCAGCGGCATAAGCGCCTGCCTTGCAAGCAGGCAGTCCTGAGTTCGATTCCCGGTACCGATAAAAAGGAAAAAGACCAAAAAAAAAAAGATATTAAAAAAGAAAAAAATAATAAAACACACTGAGTCAATAAAATAATGATTACTTGAACAACAGGAAAGAGGAACCTGGCTTAGGAGCAGCAGTTCACGGGGAAATGACTTGGCCAGCTTTATCTTACCTGGTCTTCAGAAGAGTAACGAGTAACCATGCCAGTAACATGTCTGTTAAACCTAGTGCAGTCTAACTGTGAATAAAAGTGCCGTGTACAAGTTAAGAGAAGCAACTGACTGTTCTTTTACTTCTCTGACCCACTGGGGCATTTCACACAGACAGGTCATCACTAAACCACTCTTGCTATGGAGACATAGATGTTTTTGCAAAAAAAGCAATACAAAACCAGCTTTGAAGGAAAAAGAGGCAGAGGGAATTGAACATGTGAAGGTAAAAAGCCAAACCAGTTTAGCATACATAGAGGAATTACAAAAATCATTGCATGGCATAAATCACTGGACTGGAAGATGTGAGCTGCACTGGTTGGGAGTGGGAGGTGGGGGTAAGCTTGAAAGGAGCCAGGCCAGGGGTCTATAAGCTTTTGATTCTGTATACCCTAAAAGAACCTCCCAAGATTATACAGTATATCCTTTCTCAAATTCTTATATAAAATCTAAAATGCTAAGTGGTAGAGTGTAGGAGTAGCACTGTAAGGCAGTGGATTCTGTCCTAAGCACTAAACAGAAAGAACAAAAATGGTAAAATATTAAATAGCCTAAATTGCTTTAAAAAAAGTTTCTAATATATTTAAAATACTGTATTTAAAAAGCCATCAAAAAAACTACCACATCATTTTTTTAAAATGTGTTCATTCAATGGCATCTAAACATAGTGAGTGATATGATTTATATCACCTATATAAGAAATACGAGGGGCTGGGGATTTAGCTCAGCGGCATAAGCACCTGCCTGCCAAGTGTAAGGTCGAGAGTTCAATCCCCGGTACCAAAAATATATATGTATGTATATATATATGGATTATGAATAAAAATTTCTTTTCATTAAAAGATACAGGATGGTGGCACACATCTATAGTCCCAGCACTCTGGAGGCTGAAGCAGAAGAGAGAGTTTGAGGCCAGCCTGGGCAACACAGTGGTTCACGGCCAGTCTGAACAAAACAGACCTTGTTTCAAACAAAATAAAACAAACAAACATTCCAAATAAAATATAAAAGACAGGTCAGGGTGGGAGAAGATACTGGACATGCATGAACAAAAAACATACATATTCAGAATTTATAAGGAACTATAAATCAATAAAACCCAATAGAAACATAAGCAAAATATTTATGTAGATCTTTTATAGAAGAAATTCAAAACTAAGTGTGGTGGTGCATACCTGTAATCCTAGCACTCTGGAGGCTGAGGCAGGAGGGTTGCAAGTTTGAGCTCAGCCTAGGCAATTTAGCAAAACCCTGTCTCAAAATTAAAAGACGTGGAGGGAGAGGTGTTTAGAATGTACCTCAATGCAAAGCCCTGGGTTCAACCCCTAGTGCTGAAAATAAATCTCAAAAATGCTAATGCATACGTGTAAATGTACTAACACTCATTACTAATCAAAGAAACACGTATTTAAACCTCAATGAGATACCACTACATAACCATCAGACTGACAAAATCTTGTAGAAGTGATGATACTAAGTGTTGAATAACTAAACAAGTGCATCACTTTGGAAAACTTTAGCAGTATCAGGCAGTTCTAAATATACACATACTCTTTATCCCGCAACACCACAGTTAGTATTAATTTTTTTTTTGTACTGGGGATCGAACTCATGACGTCGAGCTTGCCAGGCAGGCCTTGGGTGTTTGTGCTGCGGAGCTAAACTCCCAGCCCCCACAGTTAGTTTTATACTGTATGCACTCCTTAGAAACACTCTTGTACTCAAGCACCACAAGCTCAATCAGCTATGTCCATAAGGACCCTCAAACTGGATACATCCACTTGTCTACCATTAATGGAGAATTACAGAATGGGCACATGAAAGTTTATACTATGGAATAAGAAAATATTACAGGTACAAGCAAAATGAATAAACCTCACGAAGTAAAACAAGCCATATAATTTAAAAAGTGAATATAGCATCCATATTTGGGGAAGTAGGAAATTTTGGAGAGACGTACAGGAGTGGGGAGAAACGGCGTGTTTTGTTTGGGTTTTAATTACATAGGTTTGCTTTCCAGTCGTTAAACCACTCATATACATTACATGCATTTTTCTTTATAGATATTATGTTTTGTGCACACAAAAATATCCCACATACAAAAGTTCTTCCCTTGAACACTAGGAAAAAATTACATGGTTGCTTTTTTTATTTCTTGACACTATTTACGTTAAAAATACTTTACTGATCACCTACCACACTGGATATTTTTAACTTTTGCCACAAATCCTGCTTTCACTTCTGTATCTCCCAATTAAGAAATCTTATACTCCCCCTTTTACTGAACGCTATAGTTACAAACCAGTAACGACTCTCAAGCTTACAATGTCCTAGGCAGTACGCAAGACATTTTTCGCGTCTGAGCTCTTTTAACCTCTAGCTAGGCGATACTGTGTCCATTTTACGGCTGCAGAATCTAAACTTCAATTAAAGAAATTAAATGACTCTGAGGGTCAAGAGTCACAAATGGCGGGTTTAATGTGAACGTTAGAAATTTGCCGCTTTGTGTGACTATCTCGCCTCCGCCACCCCCGTCTCTGGTCTGTTTGCTGGGGAGAGGGAGAGCTCATAAATAAGTGGAGAACGTGAGACAGTCACGGCCCCAAATGAAATTAGAAGCCCATTAACCCGATTATATTTTTCCTGTTATCTTCCAGACCAAACATTCCCTCCATTAAACACCACTTTTCCACCCCGTGAAGGCATACATGGAGCACATTGCTCTGCACTGACCTGTAGCTCTCGCGGCCCTCGCTAAAACGGAGGCTGCCATCTTGTGACCCTGACCTACGGTGGCCGCCGGGGGTGTAAAACCTCCGCAGCAAAAGAGACTAAAGAAAAAACAGCCGGGGCGGAGTCAGGGGTGGGGAAAAGAATAAAGGCGTGGTCAATTCAATCCTCACTGAATGCCTGCGTAGGCTTAGGTTATGTTCTGTCCTTGCCACTATCAAGCAGCTGCCCGGAACCCTAAGCATATAGGATGTGTGTGGGCCGGGCGAGTATCCTCCTGCCCCATCCCTCCAATTAGTCAGGATTGATTATAGGAATGCATCACACGCCCTGCTTTTTTTGTGTGCTAGCCTGGAACTCCTGGGCTCAAGCAATCTTTCTGCCTCAGCATCCTGAATGGTGGCCACTGCAAGTATCTGGTTCCTAAAATATTCATGATCATGTGCTTGAAAGGTCTATTTAAAGTACACAGAACATTGTTAAGATTTTTTGTTATTAAGCTTATTTCAGAAAATAATACTGCTTATCCTTTAAAAAGCTGGAAGATACTACGATAAATGAACAAGGGAAAAAATAGCAGTATTAAAAATCTTTTGTTGTCTTTGTTCTGTTGTTTGAGACAGGGTCTCTCTATGTAGTTCAGACTAGTCTTGAACTGAGTATATAGCCCAGGGTGGCCTCGAATTTATAACCTCCTGCCTCAACCTCCAGAGTGCTGGGATCACAGGCATTATGCCACCATGCCCAATGAAAAAGTTCGGAAAAAACCCTGCTTGCCAATAATAATCAAATGAATGGCAATAGAGTAAGGATCACACACACACACACACACACACACACACCCCACACATTTTTTACATTTTTTTCTAGTGTTGACTGAATCAAGGGCTTTGTGTGTGCTAAGCATGTTCTGTACCACTGAGCTATACTCGAAACTCTCTGTCTCTCTCTCTCTGTCTCTGTCTCTCTCTCTCTCTCTATATATATATATATATATATTCCTCATTCAGTAGGACAAAATCTCAACTCTACATGAATAATTATATATATATATATATATATATATATATATATATATACACATACACATTTTTTTTTGTCTTTTTGATTCAGGGTCTTGCCCTGAAGTTCAGGCTGGCCTCGGGCTTACTTTGTAATAGCCCAGGCTGGTCTTGAATTTGCAACAATCCTCTTGCCTCAGCCTCTCAAGTGCTGGGATTACAAGAGTGCACCACCACTCTCAGCCTAATTCTATATTCTTTATTTTATTCTTAGAATCAGTAATCACACATACTTTTTCTGATGTTCATTCAAATAGAGAAAAACAACAAAACACACTACCAATCATATTCTAAAATCTCTGTAAGGTCCACCCAGAGACAGTCCATGAATTACAATATACAACATTTATTTAATAGCTGAAATAAGTAAGCATCATTTTTCGGGGGCATGTTTTGGGGACTTTGAATTTTCCATATTCCTGTCTCAGCCTTTCAAGTGCTGGGATTACAGATGTGTGTCACCACAGCAGGAATTCACACTTAGGAAGATAAGTACAGAACAATTAAGACAAGACTGAAAAAGATTCTTTGGGGCAAATCAAAACTAAGGAGAAGAGGGCTGGTGGTGTTACCCCAATTCCAACTACACGGGAGGGTGAGGCAGGCTGAGACAGGTTGAGGCAGCAGGAATAGCAACTTCACTGCCAGCCTGGGCAATTTAGCAAGAACTTGCAAGAGAAAGAAATGAAGAGAGTCAAGATGTGGTTGTGACATACCTCGGTGTGAGAAATAAGAATGCTCGTTGGCATTGAGAAATTCAAGGATAATGTATTAGAAAAACCATCACCAGCATCATGGCAGGGATGGGACCAGATTGCTGAAATTATTATTATTTTTATTAAATTGTACTGGGGATCGAACTCACGACTGCCTGCTTGCAAGGCAGGCACTTATGCCGCTGAGCTAAATCCCCAGCTCCAAGATTGCTGAAATTAATTATTAGAGAGTAGATGGGAACGATAAGAAAGAGCACTATGTTACTACTAAAACACTCTGAAAAGCAAGGATATATACCAACACACTTATCTGATTTTAGATTTTCAAATACATTTCTTTATTTTACAAATGAGAATAGTAGTGCGGTCAACCTCTGGAGAGATTACAACATTGTGATAATCACCTAGTTAGGACTTGAAAGTACTTTGCAAACACAATAGACAACATACAATTTATCTGATCTCTATTATATTGCGATACGTTACTAACCATATTTATTCTGGAGTTTACATAGCATATGTTCGTTATCTTCGGGTTTTATTATAGATTCAGTAGATACTGTAAAGTGTTTCTGAATTGACTTCCATCTTTCTACTCATACCACAAATTGCGGTCAAATTTTTTCTAAAATAAAAGAGAGAGCCAGGGGTATGTATAGCTCAGTGGCACAGCGCCTGCCTGGCAAGTGCAACGTCCTGAGTTCGATTCCCAGGACCAAAAGATTAAAATAAAACAGAAAGCACGTGGTATAGTCGGGAAGGAATGTAAGTCGTGGAGCCTGAAAGATCTGGGTTCCTAACCACGCTCTAATGTCACTAGACACAGAAATGACACATTCCGCACAATGGTCCCTCCCTAACTCCAATAAGGGTAAATTCCCCTGAAAAAGGTCTGTCAAACAAAACATGCAGACGTCTCCACTGTTCACATAACTTGTCCCAATCGACTCCTTCCTACAAACTATCCAGCGGAAAGAGACGGGTAAGATGCCTTTTTGCTTTAATTCTCCTAACAATCACATTTAATGTAGTTTTTGTGTGATTGAAGCCCACATAGTCCCTTTTCTTTCAGTTCACCTACTAACCCCAATTCGAGTTAAGAGACCCGGAAGGCAACTCGGAAGAAGAATCCACCCTTCCGCTTCTTTCTAACCAATGGTCTCAGGTTTGAGAATCTACAGTCTGGGCGGGGCCCACTCTCTGGTACGCAGGGTCGGAGGCGAAAGATGGAGGTCGCGCGTGCGCAGTGGCATTGGCTTTCCTTCCGGTGCGCCCAGCGCAGAGGCCGTAAGGACGGGAGTACGTACTCACGCACGCACGTCCTTCTTTCGCGCCGGCCGTGGCAGTTCCCGTGTACGCCAGCAACGCTGTTCATTCTGTCAAGATGCTACGGGCTTGTCATTTGCAGGGCGTGACCGCTGCGGCCCAGGTGAGCGCGGGGATTCCTGATGAAAGTGCATGAAGAGGCTAACTGGGGACAGCCAAAAGAAAATGGGGACGATTTTGGCGCTGTCTAGGCCCAGGGGCAAAGATATATGTCTGAGGAGCCCGGGGCGGGCCAGGTTAGCTCCCCACTCGGAAGTTCGCTGAGCTGGGATACTTGCGGGTTACTGCTGGAGCCTGCTGAGGTATCGAGAGGTAGCGGGGAGGCGCGGCCTCGGTGACTTGTCATCCATTCAGCACGGCGATGCCCGCGGCGGGGACCAATCCTGGCTGCTGTCCTCCGAGCCGTTGGTTGGGCGCGAGTTGAATTTCCAATGGTGAAGGTCGTGGCGGGAGAACTACAATTCCCAGCAGGACGCACGGAGCCTCAGCCTGTTATATCTTTAATAAGGAGGTGCTCGGACTGCTTAAGAGAGTCCGCATTTTAGGGGTCAAGGTTGTAATTAACTAGGAGGGGCTTTCTTTTCATAGCTGAGCGCACTTTGCACCATCCTGACTCCAAAAAGCAAAATACTTTACGTTTATGGAGCTTAAACCCTTGGTACTTGAAGCAGGGCAAGAGTCATGACCTTGTGCTCATTCGTAAGATTAGCCTGAGACTCTGTCTCCTGGTGCTGGCACAGCTGTGGCTGACATTCAGGGAGGCCTCTAGACACCAGCTTTTTTGTTCATTTTAATCTTGCAGAACTGTCAAAATAACTTGCTAAATTTGACAAAAATCTATTTACTTTGCTCAAGATTTTTAGAAAATTTATATTTTGAGACACTGTTGTATTCCAAAACAGACAGAGACTAGAGTAGTATTCTCCCCACCCCCAGGTTTGCTTCTCTGCCATTTACTGGGGAAGGATAATGAGCCTTTTCTCTAAGGAAACCATATTGGAATCCATATTGATTTACTATTGTAATGTAAGGAATACCACACATCCAGCAGCTTAGAACAGTGCACACTGATTATTTTACAATTTCTGTAGGGTAGAAGTTTAGACCTGAATGTGTAGGTTCTCTGCTTAGAGTTACAACAAGGATACGAACATATTTGCCATGGTGTGGTTCTCGTTTGTAGATCAAGGTCTTTGTCCAAGCTCATACAGTTCTCGTAGGACTGACGTACCAGTTTTATTGCAGTCTATCGCCAGCCACTGCTGTCAGTTTCTGGTGGCTGCCAGCAGTTTCTTGCCCTAAGGCCCTCAGAGGTCATTTGTAGGACAAATAGTTGCTTTCTTGCGCTACTGGGAGCTTGTCTGTCACTTCAAAATCTCTTACTTTCCTGTCTCTGATCTCTAGACCCAAGAGGTAAATTATGCGATTATGTTACATTCAATTAATTAGAGTCACCTATTTTGGGATCCTCATTAGAAAATCTAAAAAACTAATTAAATAACACAGTATGAATTCTTTTCTAGCTCACAACCAAGCTTCCTGAAATTGTCTTACAGAATTCATTAGTCTGTTCTCACCATCTCAAATCATTTTATAGCATTTGATATTGCTACTTTATAAAATCTTTTACATTTTGGCTTTCCTCCAAAGTAGGAATCTATAGTATCTCAGACCTCATTTACCCTTTATTTCTCATTTTTTATTACTGAGTCTGCTTTTTTACCTCTAAATATTCCCCTTCTGATTTTTATATATACTTTTAGCTAGAATTATATCCACTCAAAATTTATTCCCTAGCCATATGACTCTTTAGCCTCCTCTTTTTAGCCTTGCACCTATATTTCTAGTCCAGTCTTTTTTTTTTTGAGACTGAGTATTGCTATGTGCCCTAGGTTGGCAGAGCCTTTTACTCTTTTACTTGCAGTCTTCCTGCCTCAGTGCTGCGATTAGACAATATGCCTGCCACCCTGACCAACTTGTACTTTTCTACATTCTTACTCAATTTTATTGTTATACAGATTATGTAATTTAGTCAAGTCCCATCTTAAATTT